TTGAAATCTTGTAATATTTACGTTTTTTTTAAAAAAATTGAATTTAAAACGCCTATAAAGGAAAAACTATTACATTAAGCTCAATTTTTTTTTAATATAATACATAGAACCAACTAAAATTATAAAAACTCAAAAATGTAAAATGTCCATCCATGGATTAAAAATCTCCATAATGTTTTAAAAATGTGACCATGTATTTATAGGATAATGAAGATATTCTGTGAGTATTTCATGTTACTACGATTAAATTTAACTAAATCACAAAAAAAAAAAACAGAATTGAAATGTATGACATTGTTAATGTTACGAACTTTTCCGTTTTTAGTAGGTACTTTATTTCCCAGTTTTCCCAATTATTAAAAAAACTACTTGGCATGTCAAAAAATAACTTTCTTAATATACTAATTTGATCAAATACGATAGAAAAATTGTTTTAGTCGTTTTATAATTTGAATAAGATTTCAGTTAAAAAAGTTATACACGGGCACTTAAACAAGTGAGCAGCAGAGCTTCGACTTGAATAAATTTTTTTCCCAGCCGACTTTGATTGCCGTTCAATATTTTATCCCTGTAAACTATTTTATTTATACATACACATTTCAACCAAGTTTCTTCGTATTATTTTTATCAGTATTTAAAGGTGCCTATAAAATCCGGCATTTTCTGTGAAAATATGAAATTTTAGCATAAAAATATAATAATGCAATTCTATTATTATTAGTATAGTTTATTTGGTTTAAGATATTGTAATATTGTAAATGAATAACAATTATGAACTAAGATATAAAATGGACAGGTAACAGCAGGGTAGTTGGATGACGGAGGACGGGACTGCTTAAGTTTCTGATTACCAAGATAATGTAAACATTTTAAAAAATCGTCCATAACTATATAGTTTTAGTATTATATATACTATATACATACATATATACATATATATTATATTTGTAGTATAACTATACAATTTCGAACTATATAGACAATTCTGGGATCCCGCAATAATTATATTCAAAATTTTCACCCAAGAAATTTTGCTCCTATCGTCAATTTTAGGGATAGAATGTAGGAGTAAATTTTTGTTTAGTACATTGAAGATATCATGCTCAAAATGTAAAAATTAAATTTTCTCTATTTAATTCTAGTCTCAAATGCTAAGTGAGATTTATTTTTAAATCAGGTTCAATTATTTGTATTTTAATTTTTTTTTGACATTTTATACAAATTGTTTTCTCCTTTGCCTTAATCTTAACTGATTGGGGTCTACCGCCATGATTATAAACTCCCATTCAAAGAGTTGTAAGAGTATTGGACAGTATGAAGGAGTAAACTTACAGGGTCTAATATAGGACTATTGGCTAATGCAGATGACCTGGTACTGTTAACAGAATCGCAAAATGAACTTAAGTCACTATTCAGTCGGCTGGAAAAGTCATCAGTGACTTTCTAAACCGGTTTAGGCGTCAATAAGGAGAAAACAAAATATATGGTTGTAAGGAGACAGAAAAATGCAAGATTGAGTCTCTCTTCAAATATAGGTCATTATAATTTTGGTAGAGTGGATCAGTTCAAGTACCTGTAGACGATTATAATTGAAAATAATAAAACGACAAAAGAAATAGAAGCAAGAATATTGACTGGAAACAGGTGCTTTTTCGGACTAGCAAAGCTGTTGGGAGTAATTATTAAAGCCCTTTTATAAACACAAATAGATATATTTCAAAAAATAAAATAAATTATAAAAATATGTTAGGGAAAGATACAGTTTACGCTTAATTTAAGAAGGAAGTGTTCGAATTGGCTAACTTCATTAATCTATAAAATAATTAATCGGATAAGTAATTGACAGAGCATCTAAGAATATGTAAGGCGGGTTGATAGTGATTATATTATTATCATTATTACAATTATAATACTATTATAGTATAAAATTGTGTCGGACTATTGCGCACGATGACAACGACGATAACGATGAAGTTTATTTGTTTAACGAGTCGTGTGTTTATAGCAATAAATTTCAATTAAACAAAGTAAACGATAATTCATTATAACACACAATGCGCCGTGATAACATTATTATAAATTATTGGACCAAAGTAGGTAGTGTCGGATTTAAGAAAAATAGTCCGGTCGGACATTTAAAATTGGGGCCCGTGCAATCACTTAATTATAATATCTTTTTTGAAATTTTAAATAGGGTTGTGTAAGACAAGTTATCCTCCTCCCCTATAAAAAAGTAAATTATTGACATAATTGCTAACTCTAACCTATAACAAAAATGACTTAAATAACGACAAGAGTATTGAATACAAATAAATAAAAAGCTAGACAACTTCGCTCGTGGGTGCAATCACTGTTTTCGGTGAGAAGTTGTAAAGGTAGTAGAAGGGATATATATTATGTCATATTATAAATAATTACATAATTTATGCATTACATATATATTTTCTTCAATAATATTTGTAATATTGTATCTATTTTCCGTTTTTCCTACGGTTTTCTCATATTTTTTTCCATTTATTGGGGGCTACCTGCTGGAGAAAATCAAAAAATTACCTCCTTAAAATACCTCCCCAGTCGGTTTTACATTTAGAAATAGTGTTCTCATTTTAAATCGGAAAAAAATTTGTCCACAGAAAAAAAAAATAAATCAACATCTTTGTAAAACCATAAGCTTCTTTGCTCCACTCAGAATCTAAATTCATTTAAATTATAAATACAAATTTTATTTAAATTCTAATGAATTTAATTATACATACAATTATTACTGAATCAAACTAATAAATAATATGAAATTTGTTCTGTATTGTATAATAACTTTTAATAATATGATGTGTTGTAGTACAACCAATTTGTATACCTATTTATTTATTTATTTATTAAATCTAGTGTCTATCCTACCATTTTCGATAAGGAGGCTCACTCGGTTGGGACCCGGTCGGACATTTTCAGGTTATCCGGATATTAGGTCCACCACTGAAAGTAGGTGCCCTCTAAAAATTATACTGTTATATAGTTGTTCGCCATAATAACTATTAAATATTTGTGTTATGTTGTTAATATAACATTATGATTTATAAATCCTAAACGCGCCAAGTTATACGGGTTTTTTTTTTTTTTTTAAGTTGAACGCGAATGACCTATAGATACTTCAACACTTGCAGTGTTATTATAATATTATATCTAATATTAACGACTGCAGGAAGAAAAGAAAACCGAGAAATTGAGAATACAAATTCCACATATTACATAACGCGCGCCTATAATTTATTGATGAGCGGTATAATGACTACACGAACAGGTAAAAAAAAAAACCTATACATATTTTACAAGTTATAAACATTTACAACAGTGACGGTCAAATGATATTTTCATTGGTGGGAAGGAGTGGGGCATCGAGGTTGATTTTTTAAACAACTATTATTATTATATTAATATATATATACATATATATTTATATAAATTTTATATATATATATATATATATTTAAATAAATAAATAGTGTAATTAATATCATTAGGCTTAAGGAAAAAGGGCGTAAGCCAATTTTTGAGCATTTTTTTTTATGTTATCCACTTATGCTCTTCTTTCCTGGGACCATAAGTAGTATTATTGTATGAAAGTAAGGGAAATATACCATGGGTAATCCCTTTTAACATTTGACCACCACTAAATCACGTTAAGCATTATCTATTATAACGTATATTTTTTTAACAACGCGCGATATATTATGTATATTTGTTATTTATGTTGTGGTCGCATTATTATAATATTAGGTAGGTACGTATCACTACAGATATAGAATTTAAGTAATCGAATTCGTTAATGTTTAAATTTAAAATTTAAAAATAATCAATAAATAAAAATGAAATTCATCATAAATAAATTATCTTATTTTTTTTTTTCTGATAATGGTTGATGATTTTTCATATTCTAGTACTTCTAATATTTTAAATAGACACGGTAATAAATAAAATATTTTCTGGATAATATGAAAATTCAAAATTAATTTAATTGTGAACAATACAAAAATTTAGTTAAGTAGAGGCAAATGAGTTAAGTGAAAGTTAAGTTAATTAAAATAGCAAAATAGTAAGTTAAATTAATAACTTGAAATTAACTTAACTTTTAACTTATTAATTCATTAATGCCCAGCTTTGATAATAAATAATATTACATTAATAATATCGTTATTATCAAGGCTGATCTTTTGTAATATTTATATTATTATGATTATAGCTATACAGCGTGATCAACATAATATAACGCATCATTATATAAGAAGGTAATAACTTTTTCAGGATTTTTTTTATAGAACATTTAAGAAATGAAGAGGTTTTAAAACGTCCCATTACCATTATTTTTTGTCACCTCTATTTCTGGAGGTGAAACTAAAACCCAATTTTGATTTTCAAATAATTAAAAATATAAATAAACAATATATTTACAATAATAATAAACTATAGTTAAAAATCAAATAAATATAATGGCGTTTAAGTTTAAATTAATTTCGGTATAGATTTGTTAATTTCTATCGATCCATTGACGAAATATTTAATTTTTAAGTTTTCCAGTTTATAGGTCGAGGAAAAACAAATAGTGTGGAGAAACCGAATCACTATACAAACAATGCCACACTTCTTCCCTTCCACCCAAATTTGAAAGGATAGTATCTCGTCAACGTGTTGATAGAAATTGAACATCTTAACACCAAAATGTATTCCAATTAAAATTTTTTAACTAAAAATTATTACGAATAGGTATGAAAAATCGTTTATAATGCCAAAAGCATGTGTATATACTGTAAATGATACAACATTTGATTTATAATAATTTTTATTAAATATTGTATATTCGAATGAAAACCGATAAAAAAAAAAAAAAAAACTACAATCGTAGACGTTTTGCATTAATCATAGTGGAGCACTGTAAAGACTGTGTCCGCTGAAACGATTCAACATTTTTAATAATATTCTAATCGAATCAGTGCGGCATTATGTTCCTTAGATAATAATATCATAATATGGGTTACTAACTGCAGTTGATCGTGTACCGTTGGCGTGTTCGAATGTCCAATGAAACTTTTTTTTTATTTCCGGTAAAATATTATTTATTTTTCATGCATAATATAATTATATTAAAAAGTGACATTCGACGGCTGTGATATAATTTAATCGGATTTATTTTGACTTTAGTTTCCACTATTCGAATTAGGAACCTAAAATAATATTACATAAAAAAAAAATTACAATATTCACCTACAAAATAACGACCTGTTGTATTCTAGTAAGTACGGTAACTCATATATATTATTTTTGTTATCGAACGACGCGATTTTATAAAAACCATATTTACCGTTTTTTGTTATAGGCGCTGTACAAAAATCGTTTTCTTCCGCACAAGTCCATTAACAAATTATTATCGCTATTATTATTAATATTATTATTATTACATAATTGAAATGACCGAAACTGGCGCAGTTCTCGATGAACCGCGAAAAAACGACGCGGACGACGAACAACCGATCGCAGCCGGCGGCGTTTGGTCCCGGATATGTCGTGTCCTCCTCGGAATCCACGTGGAACCGTTTGTGTGCTTTTACATCATGTCACGGACCCTAATGCTGTTGCCCACGCAAAACTTGAGTCTTCAGAAGGCGTGTCGGGTGAATCTGAACCTTAGCGACGATACTTGCACGGCGTTGGATAACCCTAATGGTCGTGTTTCCATTAACTCGAGCTGGCACAAAGATGACGAAGTGGCCACGCAGCGAATGGTGGCCGACATGTTCGTATGGCAATTGATCATCCAGAGCAGCGTGCCGTGCATACTGGCCATATTCATCGGGTCCTGGAGCGACCGGAACCGAAAACGGGTTCCGTGCATGGTACTGCCTATAGCCAGCGAACTAATCCGCGTCATCGGACTACTAGTGTGCGTGTATTTCTTCTACGAACTTCCCATGGAAGCGGTAGGCCTCATGGAAGCGATACCCACGTCCCTGGCCGGTGGTAGAATGGTGTTGTTCAACGCGCTTTTCAGTTACGTCGCGGACGTCACCAATGTAAGTTTTTTCACCTATCATTTTCAGTGCTATGAACTCGTCACGTCATATTATTACAAATTATTACTCTTTGAAATTAAGTGCATAATTTTTCCCGTCAGTTTTCCACTTTTCCCAGAGCATCCAACTGGAAAATCGGGAAACTAGATAACTCACAATTATAAAGTGGCCACTGAACTTTTTACTGATAGATACGGACGGAACATTATTATGTAATTATCGTCCAAACATCGTTATCAGTATGAACTAAATAATTCTAGTCCACGCGGTAATCAGTAAACAATAGGCTTTCTAAGTTATTACATTTAAATAAATATGTTAAGTATATTTTCTAGAACGTTTAAACAGCAAAACTTAAATTAAAATAGTGAAGTATGATTTGACAATATTGATTAGACGAAATTTGATTATTGATAACGGGAATATGTCAAAAATGATTTATTTTGCGTACACTATTTATCCGTTATGAAAATTCGAATACATGATTTGTATAAAATTATAGAAACATATTTACTATAGTTTCTGTTTTTGATGTGATCTTATGCATTTATAACCGGTTTTGAATACGACGCAGTAACGGTGCCAGGCATTGCGAGGTTTTTGACAAAATACTGAATAGATGCATTAATTAAAATAACATTTTTAGGTACCCATGGTGATGGAATTTCAAAACATGTTTCAGCTGATTAAGTTATGTAGGGGAGGGGAGGGTCGGAGTAAGCTGCTAACTTATCTACCTTATAATTTCCAACAGATACTGCTGCAAAAAGAATAATGTCCTAAGTCTCAAGTGTAAACAGGGGCGTCATTTCAGTTTTTCATTAGAGATGCAGACATTTTAATAGGGCCAATTATTTTTCCCACCACGCCATTTATATATCTTGTTTGTTTTGTGGAAATAAAAATGTAAATCAATCGCTTCGTTTGCATATATTCCTATTTAACATTTTAGTATTCAAATACTATTAAAAAATATTTCTGTTAAAAAAAAAAAATTAATAGACTAAATTTTAATATTATCTATTTATTCACTGTCAATTTGTTGGCATTGTAATCACCTTGATACTAGGATAGTGTTATCTTTAATTGTAAGCCATGGTAACAATTTACCGTGGTAATAATCTCCCATGTCTCATTCTCACATCTCAAACGGCCGAATCTCGGTAGACGTAGGCATTTTTAGTGGTTCTATTATACATTTAATCGAAGACGGTGTGATTATATAACATTTTTGCGGGCCAAAAACACACTAACAAAATATAAGGTTGTTAAATTATACTCTGAATCCCTCAAATGACGTCCTTGAGTATAAACTTAAACTTTGATATACAACATTGGGTCTTTGACTATTACACTTCACGAACTCATGTCGGAAATTTAATTGAAAATATACCTCGATTTATTATGTAACATCAAGAATCCGGTAGTTAACACGAGGAGCTATATTATAGCCAAAATTAAGATAACTAATAGTATTTTAACTGAACTCAATTTAAGCCGACAAATATTTGCACTGAACCGTATTTTAGCTGAAAAATATATTACAGCAATTGGAAATATCATTGAGTACTATAACAATTACATGCAAAATTTAAGTCAATTAAAAAATTATAGCAATATAATCAGGTATCATAGATAAACCGTTTTCAGCACTTTAGGATACTCGAATTTGTAGTTTAACCAAATTTAGAAACTAACCTTTATCAATAAAAAAAGGTTATTTGCCTTGTAAAGAGAACTGTCAATATTATTGTGGTATCGGTTGAACTATTATCACGGTCCTAGTCACGGCTTTTTTCTTAGAAATTAACTTCCTGCTATTAGGTGTTTATATATTATTATAGTTAATTTACTTATCATACGTAGGTATAAATTAAAGCAATAGATAATATAATAAAAAAGGTGTAGTTGGGGTGCATTAAAAGTATTTACATCAATTCCTTCTGTAAAACTACAACTACAATTGTATCCACCTTTTATTGGTCGAAGCATTCTCAGGAATTTTCTCAACATATGAAAAAAAACATGGGAAAATCGGGAAAATAAGAAAAATATTAAACAAATGTATACAAAGAAAATATATAGTACCTAGATAATTATTTTACTCTAATATGACATAATAGTTGACCCAGCAATGCTTTGCTATTGCTATATAATAGTATAGATGATAAAATTAATAGTTTTCTTGTCCGTGAAGACCATATTATCATCCAAGTCACCAAGGTAACCCATAAATTAACAAATACAATTGAATTAATGTTCCAAAAATTCCAAAAACTCGCTCTTCCTACTAGCTATCCCGTCCGGTGTTGTACGGGCTAATTTTTTTGTTATTTCATTCGTATCACAAAGGCAGCCCACGATTAAACAAAAAAAACAAAAATAAGCAATTCGTACCAAATATACCTATAAACCCCGATTTTAATCCCTTAGATGTTGAATTTTCAAAAATCATTTCTTAGCGGAAACCTCCGTCATAATAGCTTTTTATGTGCCAAATTTTAGCCCGATCCGTCCAGTGTTTTGGGCTGTACGATGATGAATCATTCAGGACAAGTTATTTTATATTTATGTAGGTATATATAAAAGTTAGATGATATATTATTGATACAGCAACGCTATCAACTGAACTCAGCTCAGAATCGTTTTTTCGTTAGCAATGATTTATTCTTGCTTACAGATATACATTCAATTTCCCCTCTACTACTTTCCCAACTTCACACCTATAACAGTGGCCCACCCATATGCGAAATATGTCCGTATTTTTTTCTTTTTATTTTATATAATATTTCAGTACTTATAGAAATAACCCATTTGAATCTCAATACATCATTTGATTTGATTTTATTAGGACATTATGAAGTAAAAAAGAAAAAAGCTGATATTGGGGATGGATGCAGTCGCTGTTTTATGTGAGAAGTTAGAAAGGTCGGAAAAATACATTTTTCTAATTTATTTATGTACACAACTATAAATTATTATTAACGAAAAACAATTTGGAACAAAATTCAGTAAGACATATTTCGAAGTGCACTAATGTTTAAGATTATCAACAAAATTTTATTTAAAACGCTTATGAAAAAGAATACTAATACATTGACTTTTGTTACGAAGATAAAATAATGATTCTTATTTATGGGTTAACTTGTTAATATACGGATATAAAAACAAATATTATTAATTAACTATGTTGTCATTGGCAAATTCTTATTAGATCTATTGTATGGATTCTATGAGTGTATATATATACACTCATATATGTATAAAAACGTATTTTTGGTCGTGATTATAGAGAAAATATTTAATTTGTAGTGTTGACGAAGAAATCAATATTGTTCAGTTTCTTCAGTTTATTAGTGGTATAAGACATAAGTAGACATACATATTATAATATATAGACATGCATAAGAGATGTGTTCTTTGATTTTTTGTCTATTGCATCGTCGATAGTCATGCCTCCCAAACAGAAATCGATTGATCGATCTACATCTGATGCACGAAAGAATAAGATATTACGAGCCACGGAAAAAAAGATTAAAAAAGGAATATAAAAGATAAAAAAAAATAAACAGACTGACATACATTGCACGCGGCTGCAGCCACAGTTGTTGGTGGGATATTGGGAAGGTAGGATACAGAAGGAAATTCAATAAATGTATGTAAGCAACGATAATACGAGGCTGAGAAGAAAACGATTCTGAGCGCAGTTAAGTTAATAGTGATACTTTGTCAATAATGTATATGTCATATTATGGTATACTAACACAATAGACATTATATATTTTCTTTAATAATATTTGTTTACTTTTGTAGTAATTTTTCGGTTTTCCATTGTTTTTTTCCCGGTTTTTCACATTTGCTGGGAAACTCTAAGGAAAATCGAAAAATGACCTCCTTAAAGTACCTTCTTAGTCATATTTCAGAAAAAAATGCTACCATTGTAGCAAAACAATATTACTAGTATAAATGTTCACAGAAAAAAAAGTCCATATTTTTTTACTTATACCTACGTTTCTTACATTTTCCGTTTTTCCCACATTTGATTCCGGTATTTCCCAGGTGTTATAAGAACCGCTTGAAACAGCATCAAATGACCTCCCAAAAGTACCATGGAGATAAAATTTCCTTTCATAAAATAAGCTACACAAGATGCATAGGTGCAAGATTTCTGGTAAAAAAGTTTGCACAACAAATCGAGGAGTATTTCGCGATTAAAATAGTCTGAGCGAGCAATGGCTTCGGACTCTAGGTACACCCAAATGCATTTTTTTTTCCTTGCTTAGGTCTTGTCTTGTCTAGACAAAATTTTCTACAAAAAAAAACTATGCCATTTTTTATTCGGAGTAAGATCTACGAACATACTATTGACACGTGTATAACTTTAATGTATGTGGTACATCGATAACAATAAAATCTATAGTTTATTAACTATAGAAAAAATGTCTATAGTTAGAAAAACACCATAATGCATTAAAATTTTATGAAAATATCAGTTTGTTTATGCTGTGTCCCGTGGCCAAATAAATTTGGTACGCAATGATGAGAGGCCTTTCATGAAGCGCGAGACATTGATTAAATGTCCAATCTATCTCACCCTTCTGCTGGCATGGTGCTGATATGCTGTAATTTTTAATATTACTGTTTCAGGAGGAAATGAAAACATTACGGATCGGTATAGTCAACTTGTTGTCCACAATAGGTATGGCTATTGGCACGGCTCTTTCGGGTATTACATTTCGGAAGTTGGGTTTCTACGGAGTGTACACGACGTCCGCGTCTTTGTATGTACTCGGTATCTTGTACGGATTGATATGCATCAAAGAAGTATCTCCCGCGAAGAATAAACCCGTGGAGAAAAACAGAGATGGAATCTTCAATGGATTTTTTAACGCCAAACACATTAAAGAAGCATTCGAAGTAACTTTTAAAGACGGCCCGTACAACCGCAAACTCAGGATTATCATGTTACTTTGTGTCGCATTTTTAGTAATGGGACCGTTAAACGGTTCGTACATGATTATTAACTATTATTAAATATACATAATACCAGGTGATCCATTTAAGTGGGCACACTTATTATTTTGGAAAGTATTAATTTTTCCGGAATTTGTTTTCTAGAACATTTAAGAAACAAGCTGCTCTACAACTATATATTTATGTTATTTTTTGTCACCCTTATTTTTGGGGGTAAAACCACTACTTACTTTTGATTTTCAAATGGCAATCTATATTAAAAATTCCATAAAAAGATGGAGTATTAGTTACAAACAATTTTAGTGTTTACATTTTTGATTTCTGTCAATCCGTTGACAAGATATTCCAATTTAAAGTTTAGGTTGGAGGAGATTAGTGAAATATCATTAATTGTGTGGCGGTACAGCATCCTTTTTATTATAGGATGCCATTTTAAAATCAAAAGTAGATAGCGATTTTACTCTCAAAATTTAGGGTGAATTAAAATAAGATATTTATATATATATAATTGTATAGCCGTTTGTTTCTTAAATGTTTTAGAAAATAAATTTAAAAAAATGTTAATACTTTCCGAGATAACGAATATACCTTCTTAAATGAATCACCCGGTATACTAAATATGTTAATACTTCAAAAAATTTACTAAATATGCTTATTTGTTTTATATCCAGGTGAACTTTCAGTATCTTATATGAACACACGTGTTCGATTTAACTGGAATGAGGTTGATTTCAGTATGTTTTCCACATATTCCACGGTCACGAATATAGCAGGTAATTTTGTTCTATTGTTTAGATATTCTACACAGAAATTTAAAGACTACTTATGCACTAATATATATATAATATCATAGTCATATAATAAATCAAGTTATTCATAAACAGTTTGTCAGATAAGTTTTACAGGTTATACAGATTCATTCTCGGTGAGGGAGGGAGATAAAAGTAATTAGTCATACAACCCTTAATTATGTTAAATTTAAAATTTCCTTATTCTACTCTAGTCCTTACTCCTTACTCTTCCATATGTTCAAAAATCTTGATAAATTATACAAGAACTAATCGTTGTATTTATTTGTATTTATATGGGTGTCTTACGATAGATTGATCATCCCGTAGAATATATAGGTATTAAATATTAGATTATTAATTTATCTATATAGATTAAGTTTTTAATATGATAAATTTAATTGAATAATAAAAAAAAATTATTAGATTAAACGTATTATGATACAATGTTCATATTATACAATGTATTATTATAATACCCATTAATATTTGCATTTTTTTTCAATTTAGAACATCGTTTGTACGTTTTCATTATTATAAAACACATGAAACATAAAATTAATAATACCGATTATCTCGACACAAAAGCTAATTATACCGAAGTACCTAAATAAAGGTAGAGGATTCTGGTATACTCATAGATTTTATTATAGAAATCTATATAAGTATTAAGAATATTTAAAAGAGCAAAAGGTTGAAATCATAAAGATTAAAACGATAATTTACCATAAAATAAGTGTTTTATCTTATTTTTATAAAATGTACGTATCTAGATATAGGTACCGTATATCATTAAAAACAAAAAAAAAATATTTCTGAATTTCCTAAAAGATATACTTATGAGTACGGCTCTGATTTCAATGCAAAATGCATTTTTTAGATTTTTCTCCAAATTTTAATGATATCAATTTTTCTTAAAAAAAATTTTACTGGGGAAGTACTTTAAAGAAATCATTTTTTGTTTTTCTCGGGAGTTTTTCCAGTAAATGTGAAAAACCAGGATAAAACATGGGAAAACCGAGAAAAACGTAGGAAAATTGGTACAACATTAAACAAATATTACTAAAGAAAATATATAAAGCCTATTTAATTATTTAACTATAAAATGACATATTTATTGTTGACAAAGTATCCCTATCTACTGAACTGCGATTTTGTCGCAATGGTTTATACTTGCTTACAGGTATACATTAAACAACCTTAACAGTGGCTGCTCCCGTTTTTCTAGGACGTCTGTAAGGTACTGATTTAAATGCATTTAAAATCCGTCAAAAAGCCCCTAAGTCGTCAAAAAAGCACTTAATCATATTTAAAAAACCAAATGTGGGGAACGAGTACTAAAGTACCTACTCTCGACAGTTCTTATCCTATTAAATACATTTTTCTAACACTGACAAATAATTAATACAATACGATTTATTTTTTAACACGTACAAATTTATTTGAAAAAAATTGCTTTGAAATAAACATTTTTTACTGTTAAAAATTTATTTCTTATAAAATAGAAACCACCGGAGGGGAAACTTTTAAACTTCTCTATCTTTATTGCTCTTTTAAATATTTTTTTAGTGATTTTTAAGTGCATATAAATGCGTACCGTACCTATAAGTAACGAAATACTTTTCAAATTTTCCAGAAATTAGAGGGGGAGGGGTGGCAATCCTTTCAAATTTCCTCAGCTACGCCACTGAGTTTATATGCAACTCATATTGGGTGATTAAAATAACGGTGACAAAAAAATAATAATAAAAATGTCAAAATTTCTATTATTTTATTCGATTTTAAAATTTTAATTTTATTTGTTAATTTTACTTATTATACGAAAAACATATTATGATAGTATATTATATTTGATAACATCGAATTTGAAATGACACGAAAAAACGTTTATCGGGTGGGTTTTCTAACATTTATTGTCTATATAATCAATCATTGTTTAGAAGTTTTACTCATTTTCTATCAGAGCGAGTGCTACGATATTTTCAGGATACATAAAAACAATAAAAAAAAACAAAAAAACATAATGAAGATAATAAACATACCAACCATATAACGAAAATGAATTAAGAGGACGTGATACTAAGAGGACTAACAGCGACATATCAAAATTAAGTTTCTTAGAACATCATCTGAGGTGTTTAAATTAGAATTAGAGTTTAAACACAATTAATACATTTTAAAGAGAAGAATATTTTCGAGGGCTGTACGTATATTTTTTCTAAAAATATTTGCATACAAATAATGTAATGCCATATAAGATTTTGTTTTGACAAGCTGTAACTTTTTCGGTGTTAATTTTTTAAGAAAAAGATACAGCCAAATCATTGAACATATTCTGCTCTTTAAATTGTATAATTTGTTTAAACTCTAATTTCAACCAAAAAGCCATAATTTATGTTATGTAATATAATTTTGTCTATGTCATCCGTCAGTTCGATGAAGACAACACATATGGGCATCAAGTAATCTTTATAAAAACCACAACAATAATAATATCAGTCCTGCACAATATAATATTAATAAATAAAGTGATAATTAAAATATAGTAAACTAGAAATAACTTATCATGTGATTTATGTGACGTATGTGATTTAAAATAAGAATCGAATTAAAATAATCTAATATTTTGTATATTATAGAACCAATGTTAGTTGTATTTGTATATCAGAACGAAAACTGTTAAACAAACACAATAGTGTGACTTTAGACACGTGTAATGTTCTTTTTTGTATGATAAACTTGATTTAATTATTATAGGTACAAATATAATGGTTTATTTCAGTTTAATAATAATTGCAATGTAATTTAAAACAAAGAACGAAAGATAACAATAATTTGTATTGTTCTTTGTTTTAGGCACAGCACTATCTATCGGTTTGTTTAGTCACGTGCTTAAAATCGACGACAGCCTCATTGGAGTGATGGCATGCGCGGGGAAAATTGTAGCCGGAGTTTTTTACGCTTTTGCGACCGTCGGATGGGTCTATTATATGGGTATGTAGCATAATATATAATTTTTTTTTTTTTTATTAATATAAACGTAATATTAAGCTACCAAAAAAAATACAATATACATGCATTAAAAACCAGTGTTGAGACGCAGATAAATAAAAAATATCTAGACTAGGGTAATAGAGAATTATTCCAAAATCATCTAGGTAAAAGTTAGATAATAACGGAAAAAGCTGATTGCGTTCCAAAGCCAGATGAACGAAAAATCGCGTATGTCGATTGCGTCCGGCAAATACCAATGAGAGAATCGGTAAGAATAACGTGCTACCTATACAAAAATGGATACATACAAATTGCGTCTCAAATTAAATAATCCGATAAGTGACTACACGAATTACGTCTCAAGTTTTTCTGAACGACTACTAGAATTGCGACCGTCCTACCTGCAAATTATATTTTACATTCTGAGCAGATCATCAATGATGTTTATTTTTTTAACTGTGAACAACTTTTCTACTAGCGATTTTGGTCCGATTCACAATGATGGAATTTTTCTGAAAGGAAATCTAACTGGGGTGGTACTTTAAGGAGATCATTTGTTTGATTTCCCAGAAGTTTTCCCAATAAATGAGAAAAACATGGGAAAAACTGGAAAAAACGTTAGGAAAACGGGAAGAGTTACGAAATATATTATTTTCAATTCGTAAATATTAAAGCCTTCCAAAATGTCTCTCCGTTCACTATCGTTTTTCGTTAGTAAAGGTTACCTATTGCGCACAGATGTACACATTAAATTCCCCCTCTATAACCTACCTTCTCAACTTCTCATCTACAACAGTGGTCCACCTATCGTGGTATTGTGCCAAGTATAACCGTATCTTTATATAAATATTATAATATATACTGTATAATTGTATAATATTATATAATATATAATAGTATAACATTATACTTTGCAATTATATTCCAGTTTTATACAAATTATTATTTTGTACAGATTATACTTTTAGTATATCTGTCATCTGTTTAGTCGTAGTTCGTTCGTATTATTATAACGTTGTACTTGTATACTTCAGGGGGGACTACTGTATTTCTTCAATAATATTTACCTTTCTGCTAATTTATAAACTGCTATATGTAAGTTTACGTAGCATAATATTACACGACTGCATTCCTTTTTCCTACAATAGTATTTATCATAACTACATAATTATTTATAAAATAACTAAGCGTAGGTAGGTAGTTTAATTTCCAATAAACTGAAACTAAACTTAGGTTCATCTTAATGAATACAAATCATGCAAATTAAAATTAAACAACGAATAAAGACACTGCGTATGCTGATATTTTATATTGTCTTTTTGTCCTTAAAAAAACTGTCGAACAACGACTAACGCCTGATAGTATTGAGTTACTTTCAGTTAACAATCTAAAATCCGGATTCAATATAGGACATCATAATAGATTAAATATAATATATTTGTAGATAACCAATATATACCAAATCGTACTCTCCTATAGATTCTACAATTGATTATAATTAAGTATTTATAAATCAATGATTCTATTAATTCGTAACCGATGTAATCGTCTATGATATTTTGATTTTTAAACTATGTCGTCAACAACCGAGGGCAAACCACTAGTGAAAATACTACCATATAATATATATTATAATCATCAATTTTTCATTTACTCAATGTATTTGTTATAAATTATAATTTTGTATGTATAAATATAAAACGGACTGGAAAAGCCATGCGAGAACATATCCGCTCCTTACCCCCTCTCCCAATGAACGCCCATTGTTAAGTATTTTTGGGACGCAATTCGTTTGCTGCGATGAAAACTCGTAAATTGTTTAATATTAAAGAAAAACAATTATTTAGACTATACGGAAGTTCTTAATATTTTCAATGTTCTTCAGAGCAAAGTATTCAGCAATAATTATTAATTATTTTCGTTTAACGTAATTTTGTTCCTAAATGTAGTTAAGTTGAAATCACTCTGTGCACTGAACTATCTGTACAAAAATATTTGTGTAGCCATATAGGTATAACAAATATGTATGATACGACTGATACGAGTATATACTATTATTATGCCGATTGAAAATTCAATATAATAGAGATAAGATTACCACGAGATTAATTGTAACAATCAACTTACGCTTGTAGTTATAGGTATCGAAATTCACATTTTTTCATTTGGGATGCTTTCGGGATGCATACCTGAAACCGGACGTAATCAAAACTAGAAAAAAGTTTAAAAGGTCAAAACAGGACGCAATCGGATGACGTCTGATAATAGATAGGTGGAATTTATTTAGACAAAAAAAAAAAAATGTAATTGTGTTTGTATTTATATTGTTTGGAATGAAGTTCACTTTTTTTTTCGCGTATCACTTATTCACTTATTATGGATCTGTCATGTACCACTTATGACTTAAAATAATTGAACTAGGTATTCATAATATCTAGACATTTACTTCAAAATAATAAGAGCATACAGCAATGAAATACTACGAAATAATCAACATTATAAAAATTAAGAATGTAAAAATAATATTAGATCCGTTAAATACATATATTATACTAATTCATTTTTCGTATTGCTACTACTCGGCTTTCTGCGTACCACCTTGTCGCCTACCGCGTACCACAGTTTGAAAACCGCTTGTTTAAAACATAATAACATGGCAATAAAAATATATAGTATACACTTATAGTTTTATACAAAATAACTTTTGTAAAAAAAAAAAAAAAATTAAAATTATATTTAAACTCAATTTCATCGTTTCCTTCTCTTACGCGATAATATATATTGTTAATACGACTTACGAGTGATTTTTGGTTTTTTTCAGGGCCGCTAGTAGACATTATGGGAGGCACGATTTTCATAACCGCTAGATCAATAATGGCAAAAATAGTTCAACCTGACGAACTTGGTAAGAATTTTTTTTAATTATTTAAATCAATTTATTTTCCTAGCTTTGTTTTGCACGTTTGTAATAATATTATGACAGGACAAGTGACGGCTATTTACGGAATCGTCGAGTCTCTCGTCCCGATCATATTCGGGCCGTTATACACGATAATTTACAAAAACACAGTAAAGACACTCCCTGGATTGTACAGTTTAGTAGGATCGATTTTAGCCATACCAGCCATTGTCATATATCTGTAAGTATTATAGATTTAATTTTGACACCAAAACTATATTTGTTTAGGTTTTGAGCAAATCAAGAAATGTATCATTTGGTTTTGCTAAACGGTGTGGTTTTTCCCCGGCTGTAAACAATATTCCTACCAAAAATCTTGCTTCGATTTTCAGCTTCAGATGTAGTTTCTGGTTGAAAATTTTGTTTGTTTAGCGCTCTGAACCGATAAATTAGATTCCAAGTGTAGCGAGGGAATTATTGGTTTTACAATACTGTTTATTTCTTCTTTTTTGTTTTTTGTTCTAGTATTTGGACAAGTTTTATCCTAGAAAACCTATTCCGATGTTTAAATGTAGCATCTTTTATGAAAATTAATTTTATCTACTTGGTGAATACATAGGTCATTTTTTGATTTTCAAAATGGTATTTAAAATAAAAATGATTAACCGGAAAAAAAAAACGATTTTTCATGATTTCGTTATTTTAAATAAGTACTTGACAAGTTTTATAGCACAAATATGGTTCCAATTAAAAACCTACAAGAAACCTTTTTTGTTGAATTTATAATCTTGATATTAATGATGTAGTTTGTTTTTTTGATTTTTAAATCAGTTTTCATAATAATCAAAAGAAAAACGTACAATTTCACGATATCATTATTTAACATTAATACGGAAAGCGTATATTTTTAAAAAAAAAACTTTAATCGAAAAATGACAAGAAACCTTTTTTGTTTCATTGTATTTTTTTTTTAATAAACGTTTTAAAATCAAATTTAAACGAAAACCGCAAAAGACATCATGGCACTTCAAATTATGTACATCGACCCGCGCTCGGAATCGTTTTTCGTCAGCAATGGTTTATCGTTGCTTACAGATATAAATGAAATAACCTTATGTATCCTGCCTTTCTAACTTTTCACCTACACAGTGGCTGCTTCTGTCCCCGTATCAGCTCAAAAGAGCTAATCAAAAGATTTTCTTGTAGTTTTTTTAACAATAGGAAAAATCATCGGTAAAGTAGAAATATTTACTTAATAACATAGTTATTATTACTATCGATTCTTTTTTTTTTTTTTTGTTATTCCTTTTAAAATAATTGTAGAGACCTAAAAATTTCACCAAATACTTATATATTAACATTTCGACACTTAATATAGTTTTAAAAACATTTCGGCGATTTTTGAGTTATTTATAACCATTTTAAACTGTCGAATTTTTATTTAATTGTATGTAAATAAAATTGTCTTCACCTATAGCTAAAATTCTTAAAAATTCAACAAATTAAGTTTTATTTAGAACTTACTGGTTAAGAAATTTGAACGTAAATATATAGTTTATTATTACTACTATTATTTTTTTTTTTAAGCGTTTATTGTTCAAATTCTAATAAAATTTGGAAAAATAACGGCGTTTCAAAACTGTTTAACCGACTTAACTCACTTTTCATTAGCAATGATTTACCGTTGCTTGCAAATATAAATTTAATTAATCTAATCTAGTATGTACCCATCCTATCTTTCCAGTTGCCCAACTACAACAGTGATACACCTATCAGTAGTAGTATTTCTTGTTTGAAACAATTTCATTATTTCGACTATTAAAGCCTTTCATTCTGAAGCTGATTAATTCAACCATGCCCAATTCATTTTAGTAAAAATAACAGGGTATGGTTATTCAAAATAAATAATGAAAAATGATATGAACTATGTTGAAAAAAAATTGATATTATTTTATATATCGAGGTAAACGGAATGTTCCACTGTGTAACCGAATAATAATAATTTTGTTAATATTCATATTTTTTTCATTCGGGTTTGGTGTCAGGAAAACACAAATGTATAGAAAAATTAAATTTTTATTTGCCCTTTTTATCCCCTTTTATTAAAAATAACTATTTTTTCACTTTTTAAAATTTTCAAAAAGGTCGATTTCTAAAATGTATAACTCTTAAAATTTGAATTATACATTCGTATTCAATCAATTTTTTCTTAATATTTAGAGAAATGTATGAAAAACGAGACTACCACAATAGCGAGTTATAATAGTAATACAAGGTAATAAAACATTTATGTTAGAAATTAAAATGGCTATTTTGAAAATTTGAAAGAGTGAAAAATAAAAAGTTATTTTTTTAAATTTTTTTCCAGTGATTAAGACATGGAAATAATAATTTATTTTTCTCTGCATTTATACATGCATTCCGATTAAAAAAATAGATCAATATTAACAGAGTTATTAGCAATTGGATGAAACTGTAGGTATCTAATAAAATATAATCCTATTTTGTTGAATTTAAAAATTAGATGGATGTACAAAGAAAGCCAAAAATCAAAAAAAGGTGACTATACAAAAGCAAATATTGCAGAAAATGGTACAAATGAAGAAATGCAAAGTCTTTGAACAATATTATTTTTTTAAATTAATCTGTGAAATTTTATTGAAAATGAGCACTTAAGATTTAAAAAAAATATCCTAAAAACACAATGACACATATAAGACAAATTAAACATTACTAGGTATTATAGGTACTTATTAATATCCTAATTTAAATTTATTGATTTATTTGTATAAAATGGTTTTTGATGTTTAAAAAATAGGTGGGTCAAATCATTAAATGATTTAAGAAGAGACCCATCTAGAATTATTAAAATCTCTATTTTTAATTAGTTAATATTACCATAATTTATACGCACGCAATGCAATTTTTATAAACCCGAATCTTTAAATAATATAAAAACTATTAATAATAGTATTAATTATTCTAAGTAAATAAATGCGTTAAATTTTGAAAAAAATATTTTACTTTAAATTCTTGGAATTAATTTCATAGTATACAAGGCACCGTTTCTGAATTCAAAAAATTCAGATTTCGTACATTGAAAATTGCATTTTAAAACACTATAATCAATATGTTATTTTATAAAAAAACATAATTTTCAAATTTTTTATAAAAAATTAAATAAGGTCCATTATGTATATTGAACATCAAAATCGTATTGTTTAATTGTACTTACTTAAATAGTTATTTAGTGCCGCCTCATTGTTATTATTATTATTATAATCATCATTTGTATTATGTATATTTTTTAATTATAAGATTAATTTTATTATAATTATATTGTTTACTGTCTACTGGCGGTTACTGATACATCGCTTGAACTTTTACTAGAATCATACATAATTATAGTCAGTCAAAGATTAACCTAATCCTATAAGTAATTAGTTAGGTATTGGTATACATTTGTTCTTATTTTTATTTTATTATTATTTGTTTTATAATCTTTAGCATCAATGTAATTTAAAACCTACTGGGAACTGTCGAAACTTGACCAATATTAAAATATTTAATTATTTACAATATAGAAAATATTATTTAAATATTTTGTAAATTGGTATATATTATGATATGGTATAATATATAAAAACATAAGTTATTTAAGAACGACATTTAAGCAATTGTATAATTCAGTTTATATTATATACAATTTATTTAAGCAGAGCAATAAGCCAGCTGTTCTTGTTTTTTTATATAATGTGTTCATATTATTTGTTGAATACATATTATACGTGAAACCTTCGTGTAAAGTTATATTGTAATGAATTAAATATAGTGATATGTATAATGTTTATTTTTCATACGTATTTTCCATGTAATCGAATGTCCTGAAAATATAAAGAAAGGGAAATTAAAAATTACCTTAAGAAAATTGTCAGTCCCTGCAGATACACTCTGTATGCATATAATAATTTATACAATTTTATGTTACAGTAAAATTGTCCCAAAAATGACTTGTTTAAAATATTTTTAAAATCATATAATATTCTAAAGTGTTAGATTTAAAAGATTGTCTTTATTTTTTAGGATAAAACGACCACCTACTTTTGATTTTCAAATGATATTCTTTTTGAAATTCATAAATCTGCACAAATAAATGGAGTAGGTATTAGTTTAAATACATTTTGGTGTTAATATTTTAGATTTCCGTCAACCTTCTGATGAATTATTCCCCTTTTATGTTTAGATAGCAAGAAAGTAAGCGGAACATAATTTGTTTTAGCGGCACAGCACGCGGCTTTTGAATAGCATTTCACTATTTTTCCTATACCCAAATTTAAAATTTAAAATTTCAAAACCAAAATATATTAAAACTTCATCTACTTATGACATTTTTAATATAAATATCCATTTTAAAATCAAAAGTAGGAAAGTCCTCTTCATTCCAAAAATAAGGACAATGTAAAATTTTAGAATATATGATTCCAAAAAGTTTTAAAATTTTGTTTTTAAAAAAATGCGACAAAAAAATTATGTTAACATTTGTCATTTGGAGCAATATTTCTGACAGAAAACGTCGTGTAAACAAATTAAAAACAATTAAAACGGTAATGCCACAACGTGCCGAAAATATTTTTCATTTTATCAATAATTTTCTTTCGTGTTTTTTCCAATTATTTCTAAAACCTTTAGAAACATAACTATACTCTATATATTGGAGCAAAAAGTTGTTTACAGGCAGAAAAAAAACGCGCATCATAGTAAAACCTATAGATCCCTCTCTATGTTTCAAATTTAAAAAAATTGTTCAAGATTTTGAATTTTTGAGTAGTACCATTTTCTTTTAATTATGGTAAAAATGCAGTGCTTCACGATGCACTTTCGCAATCTCTTGTATCTAAAAAATTAAAACTATATAAATTAAACGAGAAAATATAATAAGCAATAAAAGACTATTAAATTGCAGTGCACTAAACAGCATGATCGAAAAACCGTAAATATTACATAATAATATACTTATTAAAAATTTCATAAAAAAATGATGTTTAAATATAGGTTGCCATTTAAAAATCAAAAAAAAATTGGTGATTTTACTCCCAAATATAAGGGTGATAAAAAATAACAGAAATGTTACATTTTCAATCAGCTTTTTTCTATAATTACCTGAAAAACGAATTTCAGAAAAAGTTAATACTTTTTGAGATAAAAATTAATGTTTTACGTTATTACCGTGTATAGCAGTGGTTCCCAAAATTTTTATCTTTACCGCCCTCTTCAAAAAAAAAAATCTGATACCCCCGTAAAGAAAAAAAGTATATAGGTACAAAAGTATACATTATATGTAATGAAAAATTAATGTATTGTTTATAAATAAGTATTATGTTTTATTATTATATAGTATAGGTATACGTACGAATAAAAAAAGATCCTAAAACCACACTTATAAAAATAATAACAACAACGAACAAGATCGGCATCCGGGAGTATACTAAATTACCAATACCGCAATACAAAGAACATTCAAATAATATAGAAGTAGAAATAGTATACTATGTTACATTTATTGCGATAATGATGAGTTTATTTGTCAACATATAAAGTTTGTATTATAAACGATTATTCTAAATTTAAAAATACAAAATATACAAGTACAATAATTTGTACTACCTACAATCTACATAATGTTGTTGAAAAATATAAATAAAGTGACCGCCCCTTTTTGTAAGTCAATGCTCCCCAATTAATCTTGTAACTTCCATCACCCCCCTGGATAGCTCTAGTGCTCCCAGGGGGGTGATATCGCCCATTTTGGGAAACATTGGTGTAAAGTATAGTTTCCCCTTGACAATATAAATTGGTATGATAACAATATTCCAGTTAACAGAAGATTCCGCGCATACATTGCAACAAACAATAATAATATGTTATTCTAAAACGAAATATGAGTTCTCTAGTATTTAATAATTTAACTAGTTTGTATTGGGTTCCTGAATTTAAATCGTTTTGAACAGGAGAAAAATATTGGTATAGTTAACTTATTTTTGAGTTGTTGCAGTCTTGAACTAGATAGTCGATGTGTTATTATTAAGGAAATGATTTACATATAATTTGAATAGATAAAAATATGTATAATATATATATATATATATATATATATCACATTTTTACTTTACATGCATACTCACATTGTATAGATATATAGAAGTATAGTTTATAAAATAATTTGTTCAAAAAACATCAAAATATATAAGGGAAATTACAATTCAATTGTAAGTACTTACAATGTATAATAAATTTATAAAAAATTCATTAATTATAAGAAAAAAAAAATTGAATACAAAATAAACATAATATTTTATCAACAAAGATAATTCAGGCAAATTTCTTACTAGAATAGTGTATTTTATTGAATAATAATTACCATATAAATTACCGGTAAACGATAAATACATAAAATAACTATAAATTCGTTCCTAAATAGTTATATTATAATCGTAATAAACATAATAGTACTAACTGAAACTATTAACACGAAGCACGAAGGCCAAACTCACTAGGATCGGTTAATTTCGTGTATTTTGATAAAATTTATCTTCGCGGAAAAATTGGGAAGATTAATCGAAATAAAATATTAAACATCATTTTAATGACAATAATAATCATTAAAGGCGTGTGCTCTGCACGTACATATTTGTAAAGCATTGTTATACCTATGACGTAAAAATAAAAGTTTGTGCCAGTCGAATGTGCAGATTAACCATGCCCTTGACTTTTGATTTTTATACAATATCTACTACAGTATAATAATACATTAACGTATATATTAGGTATTATTAATGTGTGTCTATAATATCTATACAAATACACAACACGAGTGAAAAAAAAAATCCTCTATTTATTAAGATTATTCGTGTTAAAACTAGCAGCTTTTATAGTTCCGATATCTATATATCTATATATCTATACAATGATTAAATAAATATTAGTCACTATCCGAATTTGACGAAAATACACAAATCGATTTTTTCTTCTATCTTACATAATATAAATTCATCTAAATATATTTAATAATATTTTATACCACATCTATACCTGTACCTAGCGAAATATAATTTTAAAATAATTGCAACTAGGTACCTATTGCATAATATGGCAATAAAATTAATTTTGTTAGACCATATTGCTTTTCGGCTCTGCACACAGTAGTTGTATATCTGGTCATGCGATACGTTAATTAGCTTTAAAATCAGACAAATAGAAGCATAATAATCATAATGTTATAGCGAGCGAACAAAATAATATTGCGATAAGCGTTCGTGAATTTACACAATAATTAAATAATTCACGAAAAGGTTAAGACGATAACTCCCAATAATAATATAAGTGCCTGCGATGTTAATCGACACCGGAAATATTATTATTTATTTAATTTTTGATTTTAATCATTGGGTAGAAAATATACCGAGATGGTTTGGGCATGTCATGAGAAGAGAGAAATCAGAACCAGTAAGAATGGCAATGAAAATAAATGTAGGAGGAAAAGAGAGAAGATGAAGACTGGAAAAGAGGTGGTTGGATGTGATTGAAAATAAGGACAATGGCGGGTATATGCTCGGACGATGTGGAGGATCGCATCAAGTGGAAGTTTAGGACGAGGTGGCTGATCCCAAATAGTTGGGATGAAGGCGAAGAAGAATTATGTTCATTATATGGGTATAATCATATTGGTACATGTATTTTTGATTTTAGACTGGCGAATAGTGCACAATAGGTAGACCATAATTTTACGAAGTATAATTATCCGGAATGATAAAAACCTCGGATCGCAATAATCCGGGACGTAACAGCCCCGAACATAGGTAGTATTCCGTAATTAAGTAAAATCAATTATTTCTAAATCTTCTTAAGGTTTCTTACAGTTCCAAAAACGGTAACCCACAATCGTATTTATTTCGCTGGCCTTTTATCTTCACCCGACCCCCTCAGATAAAAATCATTTACTTTTCCCGATTGTTTTTCTACTTTCTCGAATTTTCCACTTACTCCTATTCATGTTTCACGACAAACAAGCTACGGCAAAAAATGTACCATACATATAATATTATATTTTAGAAACCATTGATATATTTCCGGAGTATAATCTTTTGGATTTTTGAAGTCCGGAAATTTCAGTACGGGTTCTTACGTTTCGGAACATTACATTTTGGAATATGATGTTCTGGGTTACTGTGTTCCGGATTTATATAGCCCATCATAGAATAATATGTTTTTATAGTTTCGACAAAATATAAAAAATATATCCTAGCTGCAGGCATCCAATGTCCGTGGATCAACAAGTTTAATAAAAATTCGCCTCTTTGTTTCTGTAACGAATAAAACTATTATATTCTAGATAACAGATATTTAGTATTTGTTCATTAGAAAAACCAATATTAAAGGAATAGGAAATGTTGTATTTCGAAGCTATAAAGAATTTATGCTTACAAATATTAGATGAATAATAAAAAACTATCACGCAAGATTTTTTTTTTAAATTTACTATAACTATCGATATGTAATTATCGAAATGTTGACACACATGCAAACTTCTAAAAGCATTTAAAATGTGGTGCTATACGCAAGATATTCCAAATTTCACGTTACAGTCAAGAAAGTACTTATTTTTTTAATAAATGACTAATGTAAAAACTTTTTGGAGTCATATACATAGGTATTCTAAAAATTTATGTTAGCCTTATTTTATTCGCAATTATTTGATGAAATCACTGTTTTGGTAAGTTGGGAAGGTAGAATATGGAGAAGAATTTAGTGTATATCTCTACGCAATGATTAATCTTCGCTAACGAAAAACGATTCTGAGCTATATTTGATTATACATGTTATACATATGTATAATTAGGCAATATCTAGATTAAGCGGTTTAATTCTGAATTGTACAAATGTTTCCTTTAATTTGATGTCAAAATAGTCAACAATCATTTCACACCGATAACCAAAGCACTAGAAGTGTAAACATGTTTTATATTAAGTCAGTAACTTTACTTTAAGTAGAATAAAATTATTATTAATAAGGAGGAAAAATGTGAAACATAAAAAGGGGAGAAAAAGTAATAAACTAGGTCTTCTCTGGTGATCGTGTGACGCGATCACTAATGAAAAACTGTATTAAAGTTTCGCTTTTTTCATTGTGTTTAATATTTGTGTTATGTTGGAGTTACCGGCGTATACGATAATTAGGTACATATCCTAATGATCGATAGGTTATAGATAAGTTATGTATTTTATCAAAGCATTGATAACAATATACATGCAGGTGCATTATTCTCTGGAGGTCAGCAAAAATAACGCCACGGTTTTCGACTGCAGTATAATATAATTCGGATTACTGCAGTTTTTTTATCGTATTATATTGTTCATAACATTTTACTTAATAGTAATAAAAAATTATCAGGATATGAAAAAATTTAAAAAAAAAAATTGTCTATGCAATTATTTTAGTCTATTTTAAATATTAGAAACCTGTAAGAGTTGACGTTGGACTGACAAAAAAAAATTAAGTGTGACGTATTATTATAATATTTTGTTTAATTACATTAAAATGCATTTCGCATGTTATGATATGCATATTTATTTGTTCAATTGCATCGCTCGCTGAAATTAAACGTATTATGTACACGTGTGTTACAAACCGTTTGATACAATATTCATAATTTATCGAAGAAGACGGTGGAAGTGGGGTGTCTTAGGTTCATAAACAGTTTCAACGTTTACGATATACAGTTGTGTATTATAATTTCTTCTAGTCAGATTTATATCCGCGTCCCGATAACTCGGCGTCGTGCGATTTCGCATTTTCGTTAATTCGGTTATCGTTGCATTTTAAATAGTAGTTTGTTTTTAAGCATTACATTTAATTAAATATTGTTATAAATTACAAAAAAAATAAACATCACAATGACTTCTGTAGGAAAATATATTATTTTATCGAGCACGGGCGTTTACAGGGATCGGAACATTATCACTACATTGTTTGTTTAAGGTAATTTTCAATTTAAATTTTTTTGAATTTTTAACGGCATACTTTTAGAATTTATGTCTACATATTATAGTATTCTGTCACTGCGACACCATTGCATTTGCGTCTTTCAAATATAGTAACTATACAGGACGTATATATTTTAAAAATCTCGAAAATCGATTGTTTAAAATCTATTTTGCGAACGTATAAATTTTAAATTATGTACCTATGAATTTTCTATTTTTTTTGTATATTTTATAAGGTACGTTCATCTCAATACTCAAAGTCCAAAAATACCAACAATTTCCTAATATACAAAATAAAAGCAAGTACATTTTTAAATAATATAATTGAATATTTATGTAATTTAAAAAAAAAAATTGTTTATAAACAATACTGTATATTCTATATCATTATTTTATGTATAAATAAGATAAATAGACTACTGGACCGATTTTTACTTGGTTTTTCCAACATGATCCATATTTTGTCAGAGGCAAATTTCTAGTTATTGAAATTTTCGATCCGACCTGTAGAAAAAAGTTAGGTTCCTAAATAATTGTTTTCACAAGTTATAGTTTCTTGATTACATACATATAATACATTTGTATATTTACATGAGTAAATAAATATAAACAGGCAGAGCAATAATATACAATGAAATATAGCTTAACTAAAGTCAACTAAAGGGTTATTTATAACAGTAATGCAATATTTAAAATGTGATATTAAATCGGCATACATAAAATAAGTACTCTGCACTTAATCCTAATATTATATGACTTACTTAAATATTATCCACAAACAATAAATTAATAATATAATTAGTAGTCAATTAGACGATAAATAATCTAATGTTCCGATTAAGGATAATATAGATTATAGTTATCACAATTTATTCATCTAAGAAAAAGTACAACTTATACTAGCCGTTGATATATGTCAATTTTCAGAAGAATTGTATAAATAAAAGCATTATTTGTTCGAAACATTTACATTCAATAAAAAAAATGATTCAATATTATTATAATTATTATCTAATTCCTAATAATAAATAAAATGCTCTAAATAATATTACTAATATTTAAAACTAAATAACAAAATTAATTTAAAAAAAAGAAAAAATATTTCAACTCAAAGGCTGACAAAATTTGGAATTAATTTAGGAGCTATTTAATTTTTAAGTTATAATTATTAATGTCAAACTCGATATAATTACTTTTTATCTACGCCTAGAAGTATTATGTAACATTCAGTTATCCAATTATTGTTTTCTGTGGTTTTTTTAATGTTTTTTTTATTTATTTAATCAATATATATATGTATTTAAAATAAATTGATAATAAAAACAATTTTATTATTATGTATAGGTACAATTATAATAATTTAAGACCCTTAGCCTTTATATTAGTATTTTAATTTTTTTTAATAATAAAAGCATAGATAAATCATTACACTGGCAACATGATTCTGCTCGAAATATTTAAGTTTACTCGAGTTTCTTGTTAATGTTTTTGCGCTTTGGTTGAAAATTTTGAAAATTGTATTGGACATATAATATACAACTAGGATGCCTAGAGTGCCGGCCGGAAATTTGTCCCAATACATCCAAAACTGGGATTAATTTGAATTAATTTAAACTTGATCAGCAGAGCACACTTTAAGCTCATACTATTATTATATTATAAATATGATCTTTAAAAAAAATAAAACCTTAAATCTTAACATTTAAGAAAATATTGATCATATCTTTATTGTATATCTGAATAATGGCTAAATAAATTATTTCTTTATACTTCTTCCTAAAGTTAACACACCTATACCGAATCAAACAAATCAAACCATTTCTCATAAATAATGAAAAATATTTGGTTTATATAGTTCTTTGGCACTGTCCATTAAAAATTCACCGATAAAAAATTATTTTTGTTAAATATATTACCAAAAATAAAAGCTTTTATTGGGGGAGAAAGATATTTAATTTTCTATTTAACTTGGCAATAATATAACTAATTCCAATAAGAATTGGGCAACAGCTCTAAAAATAAATACACCAAGTAGGATGAGGATATAATTTTAATATAAAAGATAACTATTATCCATATGCTATGTGTAAATTTACAGTTTGTTTTTAGAAGCCGAAGAGTATAAACAAAAATCAAAAATCTTGAAGGGTCTAAAACTTCCTTCAACTCTCAACTTTCCACCAACATTATCTCCCTCAGAAAAATTTGCTCTACTTAGATTAGTAAGTAGCCAACAGCCGCTGTGGGTTACTACTATAGATAATAAATATTTAGGTAATAGTATAGTAACATTCAACTAAAATATTGTTGGCGCGTGAATAAAAAAAAAACAATTCAAAAAACAATAAAAATAGTTGATACTGAAAACGAGTGCGCCACTATTGAAGGTGGGAAGTCTGGGAGGTTTGGTTAGACAGATGATAGGATATGTTATAGTAATTTAATTTATACCAAAAAACAACGATAAATCGTTATATTGCTAACTTATAACGAATTGGTAAAGTTTGGTTGTAAATATTTTAAAAAACTGTAATATTTATGATTTTCGTTAAAATTGGGTTTTGACTCTTATTAAAAAAATAACATTTAATTAGGTAACTTAATTAACTTATAATGAACATCCGGTCAAATTTCCCAGCATTTATGTTTTGTCTAACAATTTTATCAATAGAGTAGATACTGAATAAAAATTACGTAAAAAATTCGCAAAATTAAGTCTATTAATAGCTTGAAAATGGCTTAAATGAATTGAATAACTTACCACGTCTAGAAAAAGCAAATATAAGTTTACTATCAAAATTTTAAGTCTCTACGAAAATGTTTAATGAAATTATATTAAATTTGTCATTGCTTTAATTTTTTTTTTCATAATTTTTTCTACCAGAAATTTTTGGTTTTGTAAAAATTGAGTAAAACTGGAATTACGAAAAGTAAAAACTTTTAAATTTACGGCGCTTAAATTTTACGAAAATAATTCTTTAGTTATTTTAAATTTTGGTTTTTGAATGTAATTCAGTTAAAAATATTTGTAGACTTGAAATTTCGACAGACAACTTATATGTCTTTATATAAATATGACAAAATTTTCATTAAAAGTCGTTTTTAGTGATCAAAAAAAATTGTTTTTTTTTTTTAAATTAAGTTTTAAAATCAAATTTTAACAAAAATTTTAAATATTATGGTCTTTAAAAACATGTAAGACTGAATTTAGCTCTAAATCGGTTTTTCCTAGCAATGGTTTCTCGTTGGTTACAGGTCTAAATTGAACAACTTAATGTATCCCATCCTTCCCAACTACCTACCTATAACAGTGGCCGCACCCTATGGATTCCATAGTGGTTGAATCCGACCTTAGTATTAGCTATTTTAATTTTCTTTATCTCGATCAATATAATTTTATTTAATATTACATAATATTTTTTTTCAACTGTGTACCTATTTTTTTTTCTTCATAATATCTATGTTATTATTGATTTTTTTTGTTTGTTTTTTAATCGATTTATTTTATTAAATTAATTTAATTTTTTTATCTAATCATTTTATTTTATATTTATTCGCATATTTCATCATAATAGGCATTGTCTTCGTAAATAAATAGTACAACCATACGATAGTTGTAAAGAAAAAACTGATACTGGGGTTGGGTGAAAACACTGTTATAGGTAGGAAATTAGGAAGGTAGGATACATAAAGTGATTTAATTTTATACCTGAAACTAACGATAAACCATTTTTTTCGAAAAACGATTTGAAAGACCATAATATTTACGATTTTTGTCAAAATTCGATTTTAAAACTCTTATAAAAAAAAAATATTACATTAAACTAAATATTTGGTTTTTACTTCTAAGTATGAGTAGTGAACCTCCTATCAAATTTTCAAGAATTTCGGTTAAGTCTAACAATTTATCGACCGAGTACCTACTAAATTAAAATTATGTAAAAAACTCACAAAATTAAAATGTCTCTACAAATAGCTCAAAAATTGATTAAATGTTTTATAAGTTTTATTACGTCTAGAACAATTTAAAGTAAGTTTTCTTTAAATATTTTAAATCTCTACGAATATTTTAATCTGAGATATAATGAATAAACAAAGTTTAAAATAATAAAACTATTATTTTCCTAAAATTTTCTGTTATTCTGCATTTTTTTTTTTTTATCAGTTTTACTCAATTATTCAATAAAATACAAAGAAAATTAAAAAAAGAATAACTTACTCATGAACTAGATTAATAATTTAATAATAGGATAATTTTGCGGGAGAAACGACGTTTTGTTTAATACTGAAACATTCCTACACTGAATTTGAAATCGAATTGTTTGTACAACCTATCAAACAGTGTTTAACTGTGAAATCGCCAGTGTTGAAATCTCTACCCGTGTTAGTCGAATAAATTTCGATAACAATAGGTAATTATTATTATAACAGATGATCGTGTTGACAATGAAACGTACATTCTAAATTAACAATTTTATCTCATATAATAAACAGACTTTGTTTTCTTAAATTCGATAAACTATTGCAATAATAAAATCGATAACCTACATGATAATATGTGGGTACATGCGAGGAATTGACAATAAAAACTATTACGCACAGTAAGTGCATTAACCGCGCGTGCATCTCGCAGTATTTAATATTTATACAATATAGGAAAGTCTAATAATTGTTTTTTATAATATTATTTTGTAAATAAAAAAAACCAACATCGAACATTAAAATTATTATTTATTATATCATTTTAGATTCTGAGCAGAGTGAGGAATTTATTGTTTTTACAATTATTATTATAATAATTGTTTTTTTGCTCCGATTTTTAAGTGTGTGTACTTGGTAAATAAAATTGTCAGACTGAACATAATAGCTTTAAAATTTAACAATAGGTTCACTGTAAGTTATTCTTAATGGCCAATAAGGAAAAGTTGAGTTAATGTAGTTTTTTTTTTTTATAAGAATTTTAATATCAAATTTTGACGAAAATTTCAAATGTTACGGCTTTTGAAAACATGTATAACCGACCATTTCTCAGAATTGTTTCATTATACTGGGTGTCTCACGCAAATTCAAAATGTAATCATTTTCATTCTTTTCAATATTTTAAATTTTTTTTGTGTAGTAATAATTTTAACCTTGCGTTATGTTTCCTTTATTTTATATTTATTTCGATAACTAAAATAAAAATTTGAACTATAAAAAAAATTATTTTTACAACATTTAAGATAGCCTTTTTATAAATATATTTTAAAACGAAATGTTGATGCTACAAATATTTTCCAATGAATATCTAATGATGTATCATTACATTTTTACAGTTTTTTGAAATTTACAAAAGTCATTAATAAATTTATTTTTCAAAAAAAAATGATTAATCGGTTGATACTAATTAGTAGTGATCATGAAAACAATTTAAATTATCGTATACTTTAAAAAAATATCAATCGATCTGACATATCTTGTTATGAACAATAATTTTGTTTAACTTCAACAAATCATTGAAACTTAGCAGTTCATCATTAATAGTTAGTAAATATTTATAACACCAAAATCGTGTTTAAAAATATATGTATTTATAAAATAGTTATTTGGATTCTTGTAAAAAACAAATTTGAAAAAGATGTAAATGTTTTACTTTTAGGTTTAAAAATAATAGAAATAGAAAAATTATATCACAAAGCTTTAGTTATTGTAATTAAAAAAATTAAATTAAGTAATTATTGAACAAAATAAAATAAATTGCATTTGTTGAATCTCCGTGAGCCATCCTGTATATAGTGTAGGTACATTATTTAATATTATACAAATTAAAATGAATAATGTGATGTAATTCAAATATAACTATTTATTTATTAAGTTAATTTAAAAAAAATATCAAAGGTAAGCTAAGTTAAAGATTCAAATTAATTAATAGTTATCACTATAAAATTTTGTCACGAAAAAAAACAATTAGTGTTATTATTCTTAAAATTAATATATTGTCTAGGTTTAGTTCGAATTTTAGTCATATTACTATAATTATTTAGACAAGTATTTATAAATAAATTATTTATAAGCAGAGCAATAAATTATTACAATTTTAACATTATACAATTTAAATCGATGTATTTCGTACCTGACATGTTTAGATAACGTGTATATTTAAGATTACGACTACAACTATCAACTTATACATATCGCATTAAGATAAAACAATTTTTATTTTAAAAAGTTTCTCGGAAATAGAACAAAAAAGCGATATAATATTTTTATAATTACTGTTAAGACCATTGTAGATACCTTTGTAATCATCATTATAACAACATTATAATATTTATAAAATTAAATTTACTGGTGTTCAACGACTTGAATAGGCTGACGATCGATAGTTACTAATATCATATTAAGTGTTTGATATTAATTAATATAATTCGTCCAATTAAGTAATATAAATATATTGCATAATATAATGATTGTTTTTGTTTCCGTCAAAACCACATCTCCAATAGTTTAATGAATTGAAACCTTTTTGGAAATTTCTGAACGTGTCTGTCATACTATCGGTAAATCCGAACTGGTACATCAGTTTTGGTATCGCATGTTCGGAGTAGAAAATATATAATCCATCTGAAAAACATCAAAAGATTTTTAGAAGAACACTTTTAAACTTGGAATAATTATAACTTTTATAATATATATATGTCATATATAGTAAAATAATTGCATACCTATGCATTATATATATTTTTTTTAATAATATTTGTTTAATATTGTACCTAATTCCCCATTTCCCCCCCACAGTTTTTCTACTATATTGACCTCCCTAAAATATCTTCCTCCAGTAAAATATTGTTTCAGAAAAAGTGCGCTACCATTGTAAATTGGTCAAAATTGCTTGTAGAAAAGTTAATCACAGGAAAAAAAAACATCATTGTAAAACCATAAGTTTCTTCGCTCCACTCAGAATCTAAAATGTGTTATTTAATTTTATTCAATACTTCAAAACTGAACAAATATAGGTAATAGGTTTTGTCATCCCTAGTTCTTAGTTATTTTTTCATTTTATTTTTTTTACGAATACCAGAATATTGCGTTTATTTGTCTAAACTCATTAGTTATTAGGTTCATATGGCACTATCAACTCGGGACCCAACTAGTATAGTACTTGCAGAAACCTAGGATCCAAATCCCCATTAGTATAGTACTGGCACTAACTCGGGTCATCAATCTATTGTTTAAAATTATGATTAAACATTTACCATAAGGGACATTTCTTCTTTTTAGAAGAGGATTTAGTTTTAACAAGTTTAAAATACTTTCGTCGCCAGAATGAGAGGGTCTTAAAATATTATACTTATAACTAATAAAACGAAGAGCTTTATTTTACACAGACTCTAACTGATTAATGAAACTTATATTAAGAGTATCCCAGATTATTGAGGCATATTCTAGGTGAGATCTTACAAGAGAAGTGTTAAGACATTTAAGAGTGAAAGGGTTGTTGAAATTTGAGCAATCACGCATTATAAAGCCTAACATGGAGAGGGGATTATTTTTAGTAGATATGATATAGTTAGTAAATAAGAGTTTAGAATCAAAGGAGATACCAAGATCGTTAATTAGGGAGCAACGAAGTAAGACATGATTTTATAATTTATAGTTAAACGTTAAAATATTGGTTGTTATTTTTTTTTTTGAGAATGAAATAGTTTGACACTTATTTAAATTTAATGACATTTCATTGAAATTACACTATTTATTAAAGCTAATTAAATCTTTTTGCAAATTTTCAGCATCGGTTAATGATTTGAAATTTTCAAAAATGTTAATGTCGTCAAAAAGTAGTAATTGATGGAGAGAACAATATCATTGATAAACAGATTAAATAAGAGTGGAGAGAGGTGGTCGCCTTGAGGAACTCCAGAAATAACTATTATGGAATTATATAGTTTTTTATTTTGACTAGTTGAGTTCTTTGGGATAAAAATGAATTGATCCAGGATAATAGAGGATCTGGAAAACCAATTTTAATAAAAATGAGGGTAAGTACAGAATGGGGCACTGAAACGGCCGATTTTCAAAGATAAATTATAAAATAAATAAACGAATAAATATTAACTATTATTAATTAGATTGAAGTACATGACTTGCCATTTATTTTTTAAAAATTATGTCCTCCATATGATGGCCATCTTTTTTCAAGCACTCTTCTAGCATACTTCGTATATTTTTTACTACACGGTGTATCACTTCCAAAGGTGTACTGGAGATTTCTTCTTTATTTTTAGTTTTTAATTCATCAATATTTCGAGGTTTCTGTGCATAGACTTTACTTTTTAAATACCCCCACAAAAATAAATCATATACTGATAAATCAGGTGATCAAGGCGGCCAATGAATATCACCGTTTTCGGAAACATTTTGAATAAAGTTTTCATTTTCGTTAATTTGGGTTAGCATTTCTCGACAAAAAGTTGTGCGGCTATAGAGATTTGCACGTTTTAATACTTAAATCACCTGCACCTTATACGGGTAAAAGTTTAAGTCACTGTGTAAAATCCGACGTAGACTTTTACCGGACAAATTTAACGATACCGCATGTTTCCGTGCAGAACGTTTTTAACTCTTTATGAGAGCGGCCCTAACAGCAGCGACGTTTTCAGATGTGTGAATGGTTTTTTTTTCGTAAAGGGTTCTTTTTTAATGCTGAACCCGTTTCTTCAAAGTTGGTTAACCATATTTTAATAAGCTTAGCCGATGGTACCGAATCATGGCGTTTAAGATTAATATGAAGACGAAATGAACGCTGTGTGGCTACGTAACTGTAATTATTTTTGTGAAACGATTTTATCGCACAAGCATGTTGTTCACCACTCCACTGTTCCATGTTTATTAAATGACATGTTGTCTTTGAACTAATAATTTGGAGTTTAAAATATCTAATTCATGAAAAACGTCCATGGAATTAATAACGTAACTATTAATAGCATCGAAAGATTCAAAAGACAGGAAAGGAAAATTCTGTGCTAGAAAAATTTGATTTTTTATAAACTGAGGGAAAATAAGTACTAAACAAATTTACTATGTTTTGGCCATTGTCAGCTGTTTTCCCATTAAGTTCTAAGGTGCTTGGGAAGTCAGGAGAAGATTTTAGATTTTTTATATATGGCCAGAAGAAATTTGGGTTTTCTTCTAATAGAGTTTTGAGTTTTAAGTTAATATTAACCGTAATCTATTTTATTTAGAATTTCACATTTTGATCGGAGAGTAGAGAACGCCAAATAATCAGAATGAAATTGTGAAGTCTTATAAAGAAAATAAGCAATTTTATTTTGTTTTATAAGAAATTTAATATCATTAGAGAACCAAATAGGAAATTTATGACTAACTTAAACTAATTTAGGAAAATAAGAATCAATGACAGAAAATAAAATAGAATAAAAGTTGTCGATGAGAGCATCAATGTTTATATTATCTTTGAAAATATCAGATCAATTAAAATAGGCTAAATATGATAGAATTGATCGATAGTTACCTTTTTTCCAACTGTAAGTAAGTTCACAAGATATGAGATGTGAGAAGTATGAGGTAGAAGAAAGTTTAGCTGACAAAGGAGGATGATATTTATCATTAGGAACTAATGGGTCACGGAGCATAAATTAACAGAAATAGAACCATACAAATTAATTTAATAGAACAAGATCCAGTAAACAATTATTTGAATTTAAACAATTTTTGCATTGAAGTAAATTAAAAAATGATAGTTTATAATTAAATACAGTTTCAGTTGAGGAGAAATTATAAATTTGATATGAGTTAAATTTAGGTGAATTGAAATCACAAAAAAAATAAGAAGTCTACATTAGGATAATTTAAGATTAATTTTTCAATGATTTCGAAAAACGTTAAATATGAGTTTATAGAGGAGTTTGGTGAGAAGTACATAGAGCATAAGATAATTGTTTGATTGTTATTTATTTTTACTAAAACGAAAATTAATTCTAAAGAAATATTATCAATATCTAATTTGAGGGAGATTAATTTATTATTACACCAATTAAAACGCCATCGCTTCTAGTAAACGAGCTAATATTAGAGTTTCTACCACATCTAAAAGTTGAGTAATTAGATAAGGCAAGTTCAGAGCTATTAACAGAACTATGTAACCAGGTCTCAGTATTATACAATAATAATTTAACGATAAAGTTTCATTGTACTTTTAATCAATTAAATTATGTTTACTATAAAAATTGTTTTTCCTTGATTATTTTAGATTTTGAACGTACCGAGGAATTTATTAATTTTGCCATAATCTATTTTTTTTCTGTTTGTAACTAAATTTTCTACCAGAAATTTCGTTCCATACATCAACTTTAGGGCTAGTTACTGATAGAAAATTTTGTATATTCGATGCATTTTGGAGATAATTTTTTAATTTTCCTTGGAGTTTTGTTAATAATTGATTAAACCGTAAAATAACAAGAGCATTTACGTATCAATAACGGTTTTCGTTATTTTCGATTTAGTTTTTGTGGTGAAATTTGGTTAGAAATAATCAGAATTTTCACTGAATATATATATATAATATGTTAATATTTATTATCTATATGTGATAAAATTGTCAACAAAATGTGTGAGCCCTTCATAATTATTTAAAATGTTTAGTCTTTATTTAGTTTTACGCGGATAAAATTATACCAAAAATCATTTTTTTAATTATTATAATTTTTTTTTTTTGTAGAAAATTCATAAAGGATTAAAAGTAAACAAGGGTTGAATTACAGCCTGACCATACGTGGCTCGTCAACGGCGTGAACTAAGAGTGTGTCGCTTACATAATGAAACGGCAGTCGGTCGTCGGGGTGGCTTTCCGGCAGATGTGGAACGCGATGACCATCGAACCGGTAGTGATGTGCTACATGACGTCGTTCACGCTAGTTTCTCTTACCGTCTCTAACTTGAACCTGCAGAAAGCATGCAGGGTGAACCTGCGCATGTCCGACGCGACGTGCGCTGCGCTGGAGTCGAAGAGCACGTCCGAGTTTGAGGGTGACGAGGTCACGGTCCAAGAGCTAGTGGCCAAAATGATGGTGTGGCAGACGTGCTTGCAAAATCTACTGCCGTGCATACTGTTACTTTTGGTCGGCTCTTGGAGTGACCGAACCCGGAGGCGGGTGCCGTTTTTGATGCTACCGATATACGGCGAGCTGGTTCGAAACGCAGGCCAACTTTTGTGCGTCTACTATTTCTATCAGCTACCAATGGGCGCGGCCGGTATCGCCGAGACGATACCGCTGGCCCTGACCGGCGGCCAGACCATGATGACCATGATCGCTTACAGTTACGTCGGCGACGCCACCACGGTTCGTACCTAAATATATATAAATATATTTGTTAAATTATTGTTTAGTTAAGTTGTAGACTAGTGACGCTCAAGCATAACAATGATAAAGATGTCTAGGTACCAAGGACGTATTCATAAGGGGGATATGGGGGATTAATCCCTCCATGACCCTTTTTTATACTAGTCATCTATTAATAATTATGTTTGAAATACGTATGGTTTTCCAGGGCTTCTTTCAGACAAATGTTGAAAACCCTTCACTGACTAAATGTTACACGAAATAATTAAGGTCCTTCATCAAATACTATAAAAAAACAATTTCCTATTTTATTTGATAAAAATATAGTATTGTTTACTTAATAAATATTATTTTAACCCCCCCCCCCCATGGTGAATATACCTATTTTGCCATGCTATCGACCTCCTGACATCTTCTGGCGTGCGCCACTATTGTTGACACTGTCAACTATTTTACAGTAATAATGACAAATGAAATTTAACTAAACATAACCACCAGAAAAATCATCTATGCTATTCATTATATTAACATTCGATATACAATCTTTTTATTAATACGTGATTTTCGATTTTGTTTTGCAGGTTAAGCACCGAACAACAAGAATCGGGGGAGTAAACGCCGCAATGGCCATATCTATGGCGCTGGGGACATCGCTTTCCGGCATTTTGTACAATAAATTAGGATACTATGGAGTCTACGGTATATCCACCGTGCTGCTTATAATAGGCCTGATATACGGGAAATTGTACGTCAGAGACGTGGCGCCAGTTACGGAAACGAACGCTAACAAATCCTACAAAACCGTTTTTGTAGAATTTTTCGACACGCAGCATATCGCCCAGTCGGTAAAGACGACATTTAAAGAGCGGCCGAGTACTCAAAGGCTCAGGATTTTAATTTTATTGATAATCCTCATGACCAACGCTGGCACAAATAACGGTTAGTAATATATAGGTACCAATTTTAAACATACCTAGGTATATGCATAAAATTGCATTGCAATTAGATTATCCTGTGACGGGCAAAGTATAATATGATACATGCCGGTTAATAAATTAAAAGTAAAATACACTCCGAATTTAAAAATCTCGTCGTGATGATGGATAGATCCCCCCCCCCCACAGAAAAAAAAATTAGTTTTCGATTGGTCAATAATATTATTGATTCATTTCGTTTTCGTTTTTTTTTTTTGTACATCACAACAAAGAATACTTGTTTACATCAGTATTTCAGAAACAAATATTTATTTACAGTTGAATAATTGCCTAATGCAGTACAGCTATAATATTCATATATTATTATAAATTAACGACATAAATTAGATAATCAATTTTTATATCACCTAACCTATTATTTTTCAATACGATAATGTAATTTTAAAGACTCATTTTTTTTTTTTTACTCTGTTCAAAACATCGGATTATTACTAAACCCTATAATTGATTATGATAATTATTATTACGAATCGAACTGCGTTTTATAAATTTTTAATAGAAACAAACACGCGCGATTTATTCTAATTACACTGCCGTAGGTATACACACGTGTTGTAGCGAAAAGAAGTTTTACGTATTTAAATATTTCAAGAATTATTAATTGATTCAAAAATGTATAGTTGTTTATACTTATACAGGGTGTCTCTTTCATATATATGTGTGTCCTGGTAAATAATTTTTTTCCAGATACGTGGTTTTTAAACACTAACGCAATTTCTAAAAATAATTAACATCATTTAAAACCAATACATTCCTCGCTCCACTCAAAATCTAAAATCAAATTCCTTTCAAAATATAAATATTGACTAAAAGAAAAATTATTCAACAGGACATCTAGCTTGTATTAATATTGTAATATTTGAATTGAAAATTATACGATTTTTTGTACATCAACACAGGTTTTCGTACCATATCATATTTGTACACTCGCGTGCGATTCAATTGGAACGAACTTAAATACAGTATTTACGCTACGTACGAATTATTAATAAACATAATCGGTTAGTTTTATTAGAACAAAAAAAAAATTATAAATATAATCGTTTTGATAATCAATACTTCGATTATAATATTATTTTCATTACAGGACTCCTTTTTGCCGTCTTTGTGCTGAACAAACAACTAAGAATGTCCGACGAAATAATCGGTATGTTATCGACGATTAGTCAGTCACTGGCAGCATTATACTTCGGATTGATTGCTTACAACGAATTTCTTTTTTATTTCGGTAAATATACAAAGTACCGTTGATTTTTAGGAAATGTCTACCAAAAATCTTGTTCCAGTGTATCAAGTATAGCATATATTTTGAAAGAAAATTGTATTTAGTTGATATTTTAAGAGAGTCATTATTTAATTTTCCAAGTGGTTTTCATAATAATTGCGATAAATCAGGAATAAAATAGAAAAAAGGGAAAACTCACGAAAATAATACTTTTATTATTTTCAATTTTGTTTTTGTTTTAATTCAGTTAAAAATATTTGCAGAGACTTAAAATTTTCAAAATATTTCATTAATTTTAAGCTATTTACAGACATTTTAATTTTGCGAGCTTTTTAAGTAAATTTTATTTGGCAAGTTTACTGTGTGGATAAAATTGTTAGACTAAACAGAAATGCATGACAATTTTACAGAAGGTTCATTATAAGTTACACCAAGTGGTCAAAAATTGTACAAGAATTCGTTAGTAATGGATAATCATTGCGTACAGATGTAGATAAAATTCACCTCTATTTCCTACCTTTACAACTTCTCATCTACTACTTTGGCCCACCCATCGTGCGAAGTATGTCGTTTTCGTATATTTCGGAACGGAGTAAAGATCTATTGGTTTACTATGATTTGTGTATGTTTTTTCTACCTGTAAACAACTTTTCGAAAAGAAAACTTGCTCTGATATATTAAGTGTAGTGCCTTTTTTGAAGTTTTCTTTCATTGAATCTAGAATCTAGTTCCTGCATTAGTGAAATCATTTTTTATTTTCTATAGGGTTTTCAAAACAATTGGGAAAAACCGGAAACAAAATTATAGGTAAATTGGCATGTATTTGAGGCACACTGCGGCGTTACCAATTCCAATTTTTTTAATTTTTGCGAACTATATTTGCTACTAGAAATATTTTTTAATTGACAAATGTCAAGAGACCTTTTATGTTTTAATATATTTGATTAGTAAGAAAGGCATTTTTTTTTTTTTTTTGATTTTCAAAGCAGTTTTCATAACAATTGAGAAAACTCGAAAAAAAAAGACGAATATACTTTACACGTGGGTGGGCCACTGTTGTAGATAAAAAATTGGGAAAGTAGAGGGGAAATTTAGTGTATATCTGTACGCAACGATAAACTATAGCAAACGAAAAAACAATTCTGAACATACCTACCGAATAAAAATTACTTATAAAAACTTGCAAAATTAAAATGTTTATAAATAGCTCAAAAATGGCTAAAATGTTTTAAAAATTCATGTCTAGAAAACGCAAATATAAGTTTTGAGACCAAATTTCAATTTCATGTATAGTCCATATGAATACTTTAAACTAAATTTCAATATAAAATTAAAATTTTTTAAATAGTTTAAAAATGACTCAAATGTTTTGAAGATTTTAAAATCTTGAAATATTTATGGAATTTTTAACATATTTATAGACATTTTAATTTTATGAGTTTTTAACGTAATTTTTATTTGGTAGGTACTCATAGGAGGTTCATTTTAAGTTGTACTCGGTGATCAAATGTGAGTGTAATGCAATAATTTTATTTTTATAAAAATTTTAGTATCAAATTTTGACGAAAATCGTAAATATCTTTCAAAACATGTATACCAAACTTTACCCGAATCGTTTTTCGTTAACAATAATTTATCGTTGTTTACGGATATAAATTAAATAAGTTTATGTTTTCTACCTTTTTAACTTTCTACCTACAATAGTTGCATATCTGTCTCCAGTACCAATTTTGTTTTTAAAAATGTATTTTATTTTATTGCAGGCCCCTTAGTGAATATATTGATCGTTGCGGAAAATATGTCCATAAAATCGCTAATGACCAAACTAGTACCGAACACTGAACTCAGTAAGTTCTTACCAAAGTTGTTATCTACACAGGTTGGCGTACGGAGTATTATTAGATACTGTCTAAGTAGCGTTCATTGTGAATTATTATCAGGTTTTAGTTATGTAAATCATACGGTATAATATATATAATATTATTACCTATATTTTTTCAAAAATATACGCAAATACCTATATTTTAGATTGCACATTTGTGCTTTACATAGACTAGTTTTTGTGTTTCTATCTATAGAATTAAATGTTCTTTTTAATATTAAGGCAGTGCATTATTTTGGCGCCAAAAATCAAAACAATATGTTACCACGGTTATATACACCCTATAGGTAACCTTGTATTTTGCTGATAAACACGGTAAAAATCCACATTATCGTTTTCATTTTTCTTTTTTAAATTTGTATCAATATAATATATAATATATAATGATATTATACCTGTAAGGATAACTGGTACTTTTAGGATAACTATCCTAAAATACATATAAACTAATTCCAGGAAAAACAATAATAGTATAACTATAATATAATAGTATAAGTATTTAATATGTACATTTATGAAAAAATGAAAATAAAAATAAAAAATGTGGTTACCTACCTTGTTTGTTATTTACATAGTATTATTTTGATTATTGTTGTCAAAATATTAATTTATAATTTTCATTAAAAATATAACGTAATTAATATTAGAAAAACCAAAGTATATCTATTTATCATTAAGAATTACGATAAAATTGTTCAATTAAAATGGTCTATAATTTACCTACGCGTTTAGCATTTTTTATATTAGTGTATTCGCTTTTGCACGAAATATGGAAAACCATTATTTTTCGTATGATTTGCATGTTATTACCGGCTCAATAACTACCACTTAGCACTAATTATAAACTACAATCACCACGTTGAATGTGTGGGCGAAAATGTTTAAACATCTAATTAGATGAAAACCATTGTCGGTATGTTGAATTTGTGTTCAAACAAAAACGTTACTAATTTACATTACTGCGATGAAATACAGTTGTTCCTTCAAAATATTTTCTTAATTCTTTATGAGTAAAATCAATTTGATGTTTACCTATTATTCAACACTGGGACCTATAGATACACATTACATATTTATTTTATAAATCTAATCTATCTAATCTGCTCTTTTTCTTTTTCTGATTAAGTGTACATTATAATGTAATAATATTTATTTTAAGACATATTTTATCAATTAAGCATTGTATCATGAAATATACAAATATTGCTTACTTATTCCTTACTAAGAGCAGATTTTTGCAAGTAGAATTTTAGTAGTATTTATTGTTACTTTATTAAGTTTAAAAAAAAAATAATAATTAAAATTATTTATCAAATGTTAATATATAAAAATATCGATATTTTTTTTCGCCCAACCCTAATGTCCGTCTTTTTTTTTATTTAACTAATAAATTATGTAATTTATCGTAAAATAACCTAACTAATTTACAATATCGAATATATTTTTTTACTAAATATTTCTAAAATATTTGTATGTACCTATTTTACAGGTCAAATTGCTGCAATTTTTGGTATTGCAGAAATCATTGTTTCGTTATTTTTTGGATTATTATACAACGGTTTATATGAAGTCACTCTCAAAATACTACCCGGTGCAGTTTATGGAATCACTTTCATATTCAGTGCTCCGGTCATCGGGCTATTCTAGTAAACCTAATATTATTTGTATTACATATTAATTATTTAAATTATTATTACATAAATTGGTTAACATTTTTCAATATTATTTTTGAATCCAAGTAAATACACAGTACCTAGGTACTGGTAGGTAGAGCTGGGCATGATTTCAAATCCTTTGGATTTTAAAAATCCAAAATCAAATCGGGATTTTAGATTTTAGAAATCCGTTTAAAAAGGATTTTTAATTACCATTGTAATGATTTTGAATTTCGATTTGTCAGTTTTCAATATGTACTTAGATAATTTTTTTTTTTACTTTTATAGTTCATGATTTTTAACAATTGAAAAAAAAAAAATGAGAATAGGTCCAGCAATCGGTTACCATGATTATTATATACATATTAACTATAGTCACTAGCCAGTTACCAAAAGTATCGAAACTAAACATTGATAACATATCAATGTGTTTATGGCTATAGATAAGATAATATTAATATATTATTATTATATCTTCTATGAACTATATCATCCACCATCTGTATTAGGTATGATAGGTAATATAGATTAGCTGCTGGTCAAGGCTCGTCGGATAGTAGGTAAGAAACAGGAGAAGGAAAAATGCATTTAGGATACTAAAGGAATAAGGATACGGGAAAAGTTAGTTGAGATACGGGAACAGGTAAAAAGTCTAGACATCAGTTTTTTACAGGGCTCCGCGGTTCCATTCTCAGGCCCCCGGTAATCCTGTGATACAGGATACAGTATTCCGGGAATTCCGGAGAGCACGCATTTCACCTCCATGGCGATCTAGTATACTATAATTTTTATATTGATAAACTATTTAAAGATTTATTTTAATATTGTTAGTAAAATCGATGAATTAAAATTACTAAAAAAAAAATAATAATACTTTTTTGGATAATTCAATTTTTAAATATTTATGAAGGAAGCTCGAGCGTGGTTGATTCTAAGGATTAAGAGTTAGGCAACTTTTATGACAGTTACAAACTAGTTGTGTCAGTGTGTGAGAAGTGAATGCACATTATTATGAGTGCGGTCAACGCGTATAACTATACCACCATCTTAAGTATCATAACAAGTAGTAGGCGCAGTCGAGTTTCGTATCATTATCGCAGTTATTTATGTGTTTAAGTTATATGAATATAATAATAATAGTAATCATTTTATTTATCACTATTTATTTTTAATTTGTCATTATTTCTTTGTTTATCAAGTTGTAGAACTATAGATTAAATATTGTAATTTAATCAATAGTAAGACTTTAGATTCTGAGTGGAGCGAAGAAGCTTATGGTTTACAAAGTTTCTTTTTGTTTTTCTTGTGGACAACTTTTTTACCAGAGATCTTGCTCTAATTTTTAAGTGCAACACTTTTTCTGAAATTAAATCGGATAGGTTTTTTGGAATAAAAAATAATAAATTCAAAATGCCTAAAATAAATAAAAATGTAATTCGATATTTAAAAAAAATATCATAACTTTGATGGTTTTTAAAACTGAGAATCGAAATTCGGCTTCCTAAGAAACCTAACAAATGCATAGATCCTTTAAAAATTTAAATCGGACATCGGGAAGTAGGCCTAATTTCCCACCGCTTATTGGTCTAGAACAGAGGTTCCCAAACTTTTTATGTTACAACCCATTTTAAAAATAATTTAAATTTTGGCGACCTAAAATAATATCAATGAACCTTTATTTTTGTTTAATTTTCATTTCTGGATGATTCATAAAATTTGTTCAGTCTCATTTGCAAGTATAAATCCAATTTTTTGGTAGAAAATTTGTTCACAGGGGAAAAAAGGCCGTAATATTTTTTTGCTAATACCTAAATTTCTTACATTTTCCATTTTTCTTACATTTTATCCAGGTTTTTCCCAAATATTATGAAAACCGCTTAAAAATCAAAAAATCTAAATTATCATATGGATAAAATTTCCTTTCAGAAAATAAGCTTTACTTGATAAATCGGAACAAGATTTCTGGTAGAAAAATTTGCACAACAAATCGAGAGGTATTTTGTGATTAAAATAATCCGAGAAAGCGATGGCTTAGGTCTCTAGGTATACTCAATGTATTTGTTTTTCCTTGTTTAGGTAAAGGGGACACAACGATTTGAACTCGGAACCCCTAAGATGATAATAAACATAAATAACCATTAGATCACGATGCATATGTTTTAATATGGACAATATAGTTATTTAACATAACATATGTTATCCACATAATAACTTTAAAAATTTTACCACATTTAGAAAAAGCAAATATAAAAAATAATAAAGCATTATTTTCGTAAATTTCCTGTTTTCTTACATTTTATCCTGGTTTTTCCCAGATATTATGAAAACCACTTAGAAAATAAAAAAACGACCTTCTAAAAGTACCATCTGGACAATATTCCCTTTCACAAATGGTGCTACACGTAAATATCTGAGCAAGATTTATGGTAGATTTTTTTTACAGCATAAAAAAAATAAAATAAAAACTTAATAAAACCAATACATTCTTTGCTACACTCAGAATCCAAAAAAAATAACAAAAAGTCAATAAACAGTACCTTATACATTCCATATTACAAAATAAATTATAAATAATATTATTTTTCCGAAGTGAGTCCATACCTCTATGGAAAATCTCAGTCAAATCTCGGATCAGTCATTTCAGGTAGTAGAGATTGATGGTACAAGTTAATTAATTGTTGTAACTTTTCTGTTTCCCAAAAATTGTCGTCTCTTTTATTTTTTTCATATAAGTTCTCGTGGTGTCCAAATACAAAAATAACAAAATAATCTATATGAAATGGGTTGACTTTGCACTTGATAATACTAATTCTAATATCGAAGTTTGGTGAACAATTTTTAAGGTATGGATTTCGGATTTTGATTTTCAAAATCTTTTATTCGGTAATTTTTTTACTTTGATTTTAAAAATCAATTTTCCAAGGATTTTGCCCAGCTTTGCTGGTAGAGGTAACCTAATCAATGTATGTACCTACCTAATAACGATTTAAAAAAATTGTCTAATTTAATGTAAACTGATATAACATTTATTGTAACCAAATTATATTGTATGATAATATGAATAAATAATACTATTTATGTTCATTTCGATTTTACCTGTGTGTTTAGTTGGTTATACGTGGAGCGAAAATACGAAGGAAGAATACCACTGCCATCAACTATAGATCCTAATTTAAATTATGGTACTATATCAAAATCCTAATGTTTTAAAATTGTAAATTGTGAATTTCTTTCAAAATGTTATACTAGCATAATATAATGTAATATATTATTTCTACATAGTTTTAAATTAAAATTATAATTTGAACGCTTATAATTAAGTTAATTGTTCTGTAATAATTTATACGCGTACAAATCGATTTTTCTTTTATCGTACAATTACAATTGTTATTTTTTTAAATTTTGTTTAATTTACTATAATATTACATATGTTCATTTATATTACCTATATGTAAAAATTTGTAAAATAATAATTATTAGTTAAAATATAACAATTAAAAATGTTTGATATAGATGTATGATATATAAAAACAAAACAGATATGTTTAAAATTACATAGATCATAAGTAGCTACAGATACTTCTTAAATCAAGATTAGTAATCTTTCACGACTAATTATTTAACCCAACTGCATGTCTTCACTCAGAATTATATTTGGTTTGTATGATTTAGATATCTCTGATTTTAGGAATGTTCAAACTGAATTACTTTAACTAAATTATATAATAATACAAATAACTCTAACCTAACAACTTTTCCAGGACAAAAAATTCCTTCCTATAACATTAACCTAACTTGGGTAATAACACTGTCCTGTACGAGGAGTACGGGCGTATCAATGATGTGTAAAACATCTGCAATGGCTTTCTATAAAATATATTATGGTTTTATTTAATTAATTATATTTTGATACATTTTAAATACATGACATTAATTTTTTTTAAACAGCCAAATGTATTGATAGCAATTAACACTACAGAACCCATAACGCTATTAATTCAGTATATTTTATAATATGTCTTTGTAGTATTTAACTACTGTTTAATTATTATTTTTATTGTATATATCCAATGTGAATCTCAGTGTAAACCCGGGGCACAATAAGCTCCTATTGGTGGAAATCGTAAGTGGGTGATTCCAGTATAGGTATGGTATTGTTTCTGAAAGGCGAAGGAATTCACATTAAAGTTGAGAATACAATTATTTTAATAGAAAGGAATCAGAATACTCCCACAATACCTATTACTTATATAGTATACATGTCGTAAAAGAGGAAAAAAAAATGGGTTTACGTCAGGTCGACAGCTAATTTAAGATTCGGTCAATCAGTATGAAGAATTATTCTAAACAAGCCTTTGAAAGATTGTTCTATACTGGATATGCGTGGGGATAACAGGTAAGAGGAAGTACCATGGTGCGCGATGTTTGCAGATAATATAGGTAACTCAAATAGAAGAAAATTTGTAAGAAGTTAACAATATAATGAGGAATATTAAAAGATTGAGTTTATTTATAAATTTGAGATTTAGTTTATTTTTAAGAATGCTTGTTTTATTAATATTTAAAATTATTGAATAATGGTCAGTGAGTGTTGTATAAACAACATAAGTTATAGTGCGATCTATTATTATTGATATTAACATTAATACATAATCCAAATATGTTCCAGCAGAATTCAACCAACTCCCATAAATAAGAAGTGTACCTATACATCAAAAATATAAAAAAAATGTCAACTTATACAAGCATGGTGATATTATTTCTAAAAAAGTAGAATATAATTTATTTTATACTGAATAACAATCTGAAGTATACTAGTTTTTTCTGATATTAGGTTTTCGCTTGTATAGGCATATATCACAAAATCAGAGTTCTTTCTTAAGTGTTTAGTGGAAATGTTTCTTTTCACTTTATTAAATTTAGAAAGTTTTGTTAATCTGTGTCTGACAAATTTAATTATGGTTAATTAGATATTGTTAGAATATTGAAAATGTCTAGAAAAATATTCTCTATTCCAATCTATTTCAAGAGGAGGAGGGACCTAATTAAAAAAAAAAAAATTTATACCTACTTATTTAAGGTACATAGAGTAAGGGATCTAACAATAAAAATTTAAAAATGGTTTTAAAATAAAGCTCCAATACTTGCACAATAATTAAAAAATATTAGAAATCAAATACGCTTAAATTCCTCCAAGAAAAATTGTTAGTTCATATGATAAAAAAAATCACTCTGTATACTATATGGGATCAAATTAACTTTATCCTAAATAAAGATATTCACAAATTGTAAATATAGCAGGATCTTAAACATTCAGTAAAAACAAAGACTGGTCAGAAAAAAATATTGGTACCAAACATTATTAATAGTAGTAACTACACTGAAGCCCGCCATAAGATATTTTCCAATTTAAAGCAAACATTATGATGCCTATCTTTTTTGACGATTACTAATTTCATTTTGCCGTTTAAATTTGATTAAAATTGTATGCCGCTCTAAAGCAAAGCATGACTTGCTTGTACTCTAGCGAAGGGCCTGATTACACTGCAAGTATCTAACCAATTATTTCATATCAGCTAGGTACATAAAGAACTAAATATTATATACCTACCTATATAATGTAGGTACATTATATATATATAATATAAAGCCCAACACATAGAATATTAGAGGCAGAGTTAATTGTTTAATTAAGTTATTTCATACTTGTTTTACTTGAAAGTTTAAACTAATTTTATCTAAAGAGCAGTTTTAATATTTTCATGGTTATTTATAATTTGCTAAGAAAGGTTAACTTTACAAAAATGTGTTAATTTCCTTTTTTAGGAAATTATTGAATACACAATAACAATTATTTATTGTTTTTTCATTGGTGATATAATACTGTAATATTATAATCTGTATTTTCAATATCCAGAAAATTTGATATTGTTATTTTCATAAATCTCCCTTCTAGAAGAAAAGTTGTTCAGACAGAAAATAAAAGCACACATCATAGTATAATCAATTTACATTCCTTGCTACACATAGTAGGCTAAAATTTGTAAACATTTTAAAAATTAAATTACAATAAAAATCTTATAAAATCTATAATTTATATTTAATATAATAAAAAATAAAATAAAAAATTTTTAAATTTGTAATTAAAAATAACTACTTAGCACTTCATTCAATATAATTTTTTTGTTGTTTATTCTTAATTATTTTATTCTAATGTAAAAGAATTTTTGTGTCAGAATTGGAAAAATTTTCCGTTTCAGAATCATTTACACCTATAAAGTGTAATAAAGTGTAACTTTTTAACTTTTGTATGCAATTAATTATACAATTGTAATAAATTTAGTATAGCTAATGACAATTAAACAAATTCTGAAATTTACCTGTGAGATCATTATTATATTATGTCATTGTATTTAAAATAATCAAGAATAATATTGAGAATTAAATTTGTAGAAAAGAAAAATATTTGAATACATTTATACAATATTCCACTTTCCTTTTGAACTAAATATATAATAGCCTACTTATTAATATTAAATTAAGGGTCACAAAATAGGATATAATCTATATCATATCATTATCACTATCTTAATGTCTTATAGTATAAATCCAAATCAAACGAATATTGAAAACTATACTTAGATTTTTTTATTATTTCCAATTTTTACAAATTTTAGTCCACTGTGTTATGCTTAAAATCTAAAATTATAATTAACTATTATTACCTAAATACATATTATATTACATAAATTATTTTAAATATACTTTTAGAACAATGAAAATTAAAGTAACTCCATTTAATCATGACGACTGGAGATCTCTTAAGAATGGTCAATGGCTAACTTCTGGTGAAATTCATGCTTGTATAAAGTATTTTTATGAAACAATTACTTTAAAAATAAATAATACAATGAAATTAAAATTTGTACATACCAATGCATCTTTGAGTCCAGAAATAGTGAGTAACACAAATGATATGACAGCTGGTGTCGCCCATTGATGAAAAATAACCTTTAAGAAAGTAAAATTTTTTTCCCCATTTAATGTTGAGAATATACATTAGGTATTTTTGTATGTGAATATTCAAAGGAAAAAATTACTTACTATGATACTATAGTTAAAATTTGTTCAACAAATTATTTTAAAAACTGGTGTACGGTTTCAAATATTGGAAATAATCTCTGTGAAGATTTTATAGATTTAACAGGTATACAATTTTTGGTTTCTGATATAATGCATGGAGTTCAAAGATTGCTTTAACTGTAGTCTTTATGTGGTGAATCATATTATTCAAACAGTTAGTGGATTATGTCAAACTGAATTTACTCCTGACAATATAAAAAAATTGGTTAGAGGCTTTGAAGTGTAAGTGTGATATTTCTATTAACTGTATGTGTAGTGGTTATGAAATAGTAGTGATTAATAAACCTGTGGACATTTTTATTTTACATTTGAATGATTATTTGTTTTACTTTAGTGCACTCTTGAATACAAAATGGTCTGCTATTGGGGAAAAACAATGAAAGCATGCGTGTTTTTCTTTATCATTTTGATATATTTTATAAAAATTTGGAGTATTCTATATATTTGAAGATAAATTAGTATGATTAGTTTGAAAAAATATTGATAGTTTAGGCTGTTCAGATCCAAATTCTGACATCATATTTGTTTGCTTAATGATGTACAGTAATTTAAATAACAAAATCAATATCTTGTCATTTTTCAACTTTATCGAGATTTTCAGTAAAAAATATTGTCTTCTAAAATTAAAATAATTAAACCAGGATGTAAAGTTGTTCTAAATACTAATCAATTTGAATGTTTTAGTTTTCCACAATTATTATGTTAAGTACTTTGGCTATCAAAAATGACTTTCTTTGACAGTGGCAAAATATTAATAAGAAAAAAATTGATCTATTGTCATTTTTCGATTGGACCAAAATTTCTGGTATAAAACATAAGTTGTAAAAATTAAAAATATTGACGGTAACACTGTGGTTTGTCGTAAAATATTTTCCATTTATCTATTATTTTCTTTCCACATTTTCCCAATTATTTTGAAAACGGTTTGGAAAATTAAATTACCTCTTCTATGCACCAACTAGAAAAAATTTTCTTTCAGAAAATGTACTACACTTGATAATCGGAGTAAGATCTCTTATAAAAAAGTTAATGAGACGAATAAAAAAAAATCTTTGTAAAACCAATTAATTCTTTGTTACACTCAGAATCTAAAATACAATAACACACATCACAATATAATCAATAAATCCCTTGCTACCTAAAATAAAGTTTTCAATATTAAATATTATTATTTATTATTCTAATATAATTTAAATTAGGGAATTGTTTTTGATTTTATAAAAACTTATTAAAAATATAAATTGAATACCTAAAATAAAAATACAATAAATTAACTCATAAATAAAATAAAATCATAAAATTCTAATTTAATTTTATAACTATGAAACATCATAAAAATGTATATAGTTGCCGTAGGTACATTATAAAGGAAAACTAATTTTATTAGTTTTAACCCTAAGTTTTCCTCCGATATAACCAATATTTAAAATTACCAATCTATATCCTTGCTTTCTCTCATACCTAAGTTATTTGAATAGATAATTGCAAATAGTTTTATCTGATTTAAGTAATGTGATCATAGACGATCAGCATGGTTTTCGATGAAATAAAAGTATATTAACTAATTTACTTAATTTTCAAAATTTTGTATCTGACATTCGTTCTGGTGGATCAAATGCTGATGTTATATACACCAATTTCGCTAAGACTTTCGATAAAATTAATCGTCAAATCTTATTTAGTAAATTAAAACAGATTGGTATTTGTGGCTCTTTTGTATCTTGGATTATCTTTTATATTGAAGATTGTCAGCAAATTGTAGTTTACAAAGAACATTGGTCTATTCCGATACATGTTACATATTTTATTGTTAATGAACGTTTGTTATTATAATAATCTATGTAATTGGGTCTGGCCTGTTTAAAATTTAAATAAATAAATATATATACATTACTGCCCAAACCCGTTTTCAGCCTTCAGGATAAATTAGTTTGAGTGTGAAATGCATTATTTACAAATCAGTTTGTAAAATTATGGTCTCTATTTTGTTTTCAAATACATTTTCTGTTCATTGTTTCAAATTTTTACTGGAGCAATCACTCTAAAAAATATATAAATTTTAATATTAGGACATTGTTTATTAAATTTAAATAGGTTAATTAGTTGACATTATTGTATTTTGTGTATTACTAAATAATATAATATATATTGTTAAATGTATAGAGCAATACATTTTATTATTAATTGTATTATATGTATACAGATTCTGAAAATTCTTCAATACTATTATATTATCTATAACCACTTATTGTATAACAAATTAAAGAAATAAAAATATATTTTTGGAAATGTATAATATTTATTTATTTTTTTATTCAGGTATTTAGTATTTACGTATCAGTATTACGGTGTTCAAAATTGTTTACTCAGTCAGCTGCATTAATTTAATCAAAATCAGTTTAATTTCCTGTTTCATTTTGTTGTTTCTTCATGTGTTTACAGGCAAACAGTTTTTGATTCTTCCATATCTATTAACAAATTATATAAATAACAATTTGAAAAATGATAATGAAATTAGTAATATTGTAATAGATTAATTGTCACAATAATAATTCTTCTGTCTTTATAACTTTTTCCATTAATCTTGAATTATATATACTGGATTGAGATTATCAACCTGTAATTATAGGGCTATGGATAAACATCCATTTTAATTAATTTCATAATTTTAAAATATAATTTACGATTTTGTTTTAAAATACATACCTACCTAGGTATGTATGATTTAATGAAGACATCATAGGAAGACATATTTTACCGATTTCAACATATCCAGTTTCTTCAAATTGATAGCAATCACAGCATCTGATATTGTCACCGTCACATTGCTACTGTACTATAATTATCTATGTCTTTAGAATGGTAACATTGGTAACTGAGAGGCAAGTACTGATGAAAACCACGGACGTATACGCATGTTCCTAAATTCATCTACCACCAACGATTAAAGATATACCGCGACAAAGATACAAGTGTCTAGAGACAGAGAGTCGAATGGAATTAAAATGCCGGATTATCATTAATTTACATTTAGATAAGAAAATTCGTTATTACTTTGATAACGACTTTATCATATTCTTTATCATATATACGAAACACACAAATACACAATTTGATAGGAGACTCTATCAAAATTATATTATCAAAAGTCTGTGCAAAAATTGTAAATTATAATTAAATTATTATTAACAATTAAATTTGACTCATTGGTGATTACTAATTAAGGTACCTAATTTAAGCTATTGCCAAGTATATTATATAATTGTTACCTATTGGTGATTTATGTATTTTTGAATTAAATGTTTTTATTTACAAAGCATCAAGGGACCTCTTTCGATATGATACTTGAATTTGAATTTTAACAAACAAATATCTAATAAACATTTGATTTGCGTAGAAGTCTTAAAAATAATTAATTTGTAAAATAAAAATATGTAATAATTAACCCAAAATCTATTGACTGTTATAAAAGAACAATTATAATCTTGAGTTTGGGTCAATAATATGGTCACTCAATTATACCCTATGTATTACTGTATTATTATTATCGAAAATGTTCAAATAAATTTTTAAAATTATTATGTTACAAATAGAATCTTTAGTCTATCTCAAAGTACACGTACAATATGAGGATTAGTAAATTGCGATTTATCTTGTGAAGTAAGAAGAAAGGTTGCAAATGTCATCTTTATTAAGGAATTGTTGAATGGTCACATATTTTCCCCAGAATTGATTTTTGATTGAATTTAATATTTCTAATCACAGTTTAAAGAGATCACTCTTGTTTAATGTTGTATTTTATAACAATAATTATAGTTCCACCTTTTTCTGCCCTAGGGTATTAACATTAGCAAATTTTATTATGGATCATGTAGACTTATTCTATATGTCACGTATTGTTTTTAAACACAATTGAAAATTAAGTATTTTACTATTGTTATTTTTTTATGATTATTTCATTTTTTCATCGTTAGTATTATTATTTAAATTTTGTCTTATTAATATTGTGTATCTGTTTTTTTCTTTTTGCATTATTATTATCAACATCTTTACTAAATTAATGTATCTGTACGTTACTAACTTCATTCACAAAAAGGCCTTTACCCGTTTATTATACATGAATAAATAAATAAAATAAATGATGTATAACATAATAACGTAATACGAACTGATATTATTTATGTACTGTGTTGAGTAAAGTTATTGCTATATTACCTGTATAATTGTTGCCTGTTGGTGATTTTTGTATTTATGAGTTAAATGGTTTTTTTACAAACAAACTAGGCACCTTGTCTATATAATACCAGCCTTATATACCAATAAAAATATTTTTAAATTAGATATTAAGAAGCCGGATATTTGATACTGAGGACAGGTGTGTGACTATTATGAGTGGAAAGTTTGGAATGAAGGATAATTGAAGGTTCTTGTAATACTACTTTATACTGTGATTTGATTTTGTTTAAATTTAAATTTTAACCAACAAATAATATACATTTAATTTACGGTTTGTAATACAATTATTATATATATTTTCAATGTCATTGATAAGAAAAAAAAAAGATTATTTAGTTTAATAAACGTGTTGAGTAATTGCAATATTGTAGTTCAGTTGTTGTTTTCTTTGGCTTCATGTTAGGTAAATTAATATAATTTATCCAAAATTATTTTTCTGTAATTAGGGTTCTTCTACTATGTCTGTAAATCAAGAAGTTAATTGCACTGAATGTAGAAAAAAGTTTACATTTTTAAAAACCCTAAGAGCTGATTTAAAAAAAGCACATTCTCTTATAGATGTGTATGAAATTGCATAAACAAGAAAGTTGAAAAATAAAGAATTATAGACATTTATATATATGTGATTTGTGTGAGAAATCATATTGCCATAAAAGAAATCTCGATGAGCAAAATAAAGTGACAGATGCTGAAAAACAAATATTAATTGTGCCGTTAGTGAATTGTACAATGTGTACTTTTACTGTACCATGTACCGAGTGATTTTAAAATATGGAAACATGATATCGAGTCGAAGACTAATGCATATTATGTAAAAAATCGTGGTTGAGCTAAAGATTTGAATAAAGACCATATTTATATGTATCATAAGTGCCATAGAAACGGTTATCATAATTCAAAAAGTATAGGTATAAGACAGATAAAAACTCAAGGCTCTGATAAAATAAATGAATATTGCCCTGCTAGTATGAACGTTATTGTGTCAGAATACACAAAATAATGTACAGTGACATTTATAGATACACATGTTCGCCATGAAAATAATTTAGGAAACTTACCACTTGATAAAGTAATTAGGGATAGTATAACAAATATAATTTCTGAGCACATTCCTTTTGAACACATTCTTGATGAAATTCGTGACAATATTTGAAAGATGTAAGAAAGACTAAAGTAATTGAACAAATGTTTGAAAATGCAATTAATCAAATATCAGTTGATGAAAAAACATGTGAATTTGCTAATTATTTTGTAAGCCATTATGAAAATTGTGTTTAATCATTGGCATACTATCATCGAATTCATGCTCAATTAACATTAACATGTATATAGAAAGAATGCATCAAACTTTAAAACATATTTACTTACAAGGAAAAATGGCGAAGTGCCTTGATAAGTCTTTGTATGCTTTGATGAAGTTTATTCGACTTAGATCTGTTGATAGATTAATTGTGATTCATAAAGGAAAAATCACGTTAAAAGTTAAAGAACTATGTAAAAGGCACAAACATAGTCTAGAAATGATACATGATATACGAGTAGTTATGCAAATGCCAGAAGACAGTTGGAACATCATACTCGAAAAATATAGTTAGATCTATTTAGTGAACAAACTTAAAACTTCCTGTGATTGTCAAATATAATGTCACAACTTTTCTTGCATTCACTGTTATACTTGCTCTTGTTCATATAGTGCAATTAAATGGAATATGTGTAAATATATTCATTTAGTTTGCTAATTTTAACAAAATATAAAAAACCAAGAAAATAATGGAACGCCAATAGTTTAGTTGTGAAAAATGAATAACATAGCACTCAAAACACAGATGTATTATTCATTCAGGAAATAGATCATGAGTATGACAACAAATCTTCCAATATTGTATTTTTATTAAATAAATCTGCCATTACAAATCAAAAATCTTTAGAATTGGAAAAAATTAAACTTCAAGTCTTTTAATACAGTGTTGAATAAAATATCTATCTTTGAAGAATTAAATGTTTTGAAAAAATCGTTTTTACTAATAATAATAAGAAAAAATTCAAATACATCAACCTTTGAAAGAAAGAATTCACCGATATTACCAACAAACAGAAAAAATCATCATACAACGCCGGTTATACTCTACCAAGAAAACAAGTAAAGTAAACAAATTATTAGAAATACCAAGCAAAATAGATGAAAATCATATCAGTACACCAGTAACATTAAAATATAATACTTTTCTTATTATATATTATATATCTTATTATATATTATTATATATTTTCTCCCCCATTCATACATTTTTTAAGTATTCAAATATTTATTAAGTTGTCAAACAATTGAATTTTTTATTTTATATATGTAATATTTTTTATTTATAGATTGAGTCGAACTGGCTAAATCATACATTTATTTTTATTGTTTTATTATATAATACTATTAACCTAACAGTTGATTTTAGAACCTGAGTGAAGCAAGGAATATATATTTTTTATTTGTGTAATATTTTTTCTTAATGAGTTTAACTGAATTTGTATTTTGTATTTGTATAATATATATTATATTATTATAAGATAATATCAAGAGACTATATAATAAAATAACAACAAATAATTTTAACACACCTTTTGATACACCGGAACAAGATTAGGTGTAACAATTATAATTATATCTGATATGTAATATTTTACGCAAGATGACCATCTAAAAATTGAAAAATCGTAAATAATGAAGTAGTATATTGTGTTTAAATAAAATGTCTTATTTTATAATTATTTTATTTCTTATTTATTTATTTTCCACGATAGTCAATTCAGAGATTTTGTTTTTTTTATTTGAAAATATAAATATTCTCGTATTTTAACACACTTTTTATTATATTAATAAACTATCATGAAAATCATAACTAAGAATTTATTAGGTATTCATATTCTAAAAAAAATAGATACCTAGTCAATTGCATTTTATTACCTTAATTATCATAATTATAATTTAAGAGGTATGTACAATATTTTTAAAATGAAAACACATGTAAGCAGATCGCTAATATATTATGGTTTTTAGTGCGATTAAGAGACAATAAATTAGAGGCTATCATACATAACCTTTTGTATAATATATTTCTTGGACAAGTATGTATACTTCAGATATTTGTTTCAGGTCACTTGTGAAAACTTTTAAAATTACACTTTGTCAAAAATAATTGGAGAATACTCAATAATATCAGCATAACCGAAAAATCTAGAACGCGCAAAGAATAATAAAAACTACAACACACAAATACCTAACCTGAACTTATTAGATACACGAAAGTTTAAATTATTACTTTTGTGAAAGTAATGTCCAACAAATTCTGAATTCCAATAGTGTCCAACAAATCGAAATGAACATGTTTAGTACAAAAAACATGTCCCAACAAACAGTGACGCTGCTGGTGTGAACTTAGCAGCGCAAAAATAGAAATCAGCCCCCCGGTGAAAATAATGTCCAACAAATTCTGAAAGTTATCCAACAATGTCCAATAATCCACCAATAAACTTATTCGATTGATGTTTACTAATATTGCGCTGCCAAGTTCACAAGGGTACTTAAATGCCCGTAGATTCTAATGATTTTATGCATAGTCGTATCAAGACGCAAACAAAGTATATCAAAATTATAAAATCAGTTTATAGTTACAATAAATATCAAAAACTAAAAAACAAGATCTTTCTTTCAAGAATTTTCTTTGTGCTATTCCAATTTAGTATTAAAGTAGTATTATAGCAGTATTATGAACAATTATTGATTAAAAATGAAAAAAAGCAACACATAAAAGTACCATCATACCACCGAAAAAGTTATTCCAGTAAAATAAAATACAAAAAAATATAAAGAATAAAAAAAATTTTTTTAAGGTTTTAATTTTCATTCAATAATTAATTTAACTTAAGTAGGTATAATGAATATGTCATACTTGTAAACATTATAATAAATAATAATTATTTATAAATGCCTTATAATATTATAATTATTAAAAAGACTACATTTAAAATACAATTGTTTTTAGTTATTACGCTATATTCCACATTCTAATAATTTAAAAGTAAGTTTTAAAATGCAATAGTGTAGTAATTCAAAAAAAAAAAAAAAGTTATTTAATTGATGAAAACATTTTTAATAGTATTTAAGCATAATAAATTCGTTTAAACATTTTTACTAATATAATACTAAAATGTTAAACATTTATATAAAACATTTTTTCATTTATCAGTGATTTAAAATATTAAAAACTTTAAAACTTGATTTTTTTCAAAATCATCAATTTTTAGTTACCTACTACACTAATGTACTCACAATGACGATAATTTTAATTTAGCAATGAAAAGTGAATAAATAAATTAAAATGATTATTAAGATGATAAGATTATTTTCAATGTTATGCTGATAAGTATATTTTTTAATTAACAATTTCAATGATCAATTTAGGCAAATTATTTATCAATAGTACAATGATTTTGTTGCTGGATTTATTTAAAATATAATATTATGTATTGTTATTAAAATTATATACTTGTTGGTTTGAACCATATACATACATCTCTTTATATGTATATGGTTTGAACATATATCTTATTAGTAGTATAGCAATGCGATTATTATATTATTGTTTGTGTGACCAAGGTTTTTTTCCATTGAAGTAGGAATAAAATTATACTAACAAGACGCTGCATTAATGTAGTTAACTAGGTGTTGATAAAATGTTGTTTTTCTAGGTTCTTGGTATTATTTTCACGTAACAACCATCGACGAATTTCAGGGTAGACAGAAACATGAGCCGGAGATGCGCAGGCGTGGGACACCTGTTCGATGGTAACAGCAGGTTATTCCGGACCAACGTGGACACGATGGTTTTCATCTGAAGCATTGCATACTTGATACCAATGCAATTCCTATAGCCCGCGCTAAACGGTATAAACGTGTACGGATGTCGACTTCGACATGCGTCCGGCAAGAAATTGTCGGGATTAAACTTGTCCGGGTTCGCATAGAACCGATCGTCCGATTGCAGGAACAACGGACACAACAGTAGTGTCGTTCCTATTAGAAAAAACAACGCCAATCCCGAACTTAGACACGAAGAGAGTATAAGTATAGTCATGGTTCAGAACATATAATAGCATATTATACCCGCTGGACATAGGTATCCACCGATTTCCATTTCCTCCTCCAGACTCCTGCCGAACACCGGCAGCGGCGGGAAAATACGCAATGTTTCCTTGATAACCCGCTCCAGATATTCCATTTGTTGTAAGTCCTCGTACGTTGGTGGTCTGTCATGGTCACCGACCGAGAATATCGATTGCAATTCTTCTAGTACCTATAAAATTACTCAAGAAAATTAATATAACACACAAATAATGTACATCAAATTTTATTATATTATTAAAATTATTGAATTTGCCTTATTTTGAACGTCTTGATGATGAGCCAACATGAAAATTGTACAAGCGTTTGTCAAGGCAGTCGTTTCTTGTCCACCTAAAAGTTTTATATTGATATTTGAGAAAGTAATTTTAGGCAATAATTATAATTATTCTAAAATAAAGTTAGTTAATTATAGATAAATTATATTGTATTTATAATAAAAATCGTTTAAAAAGTTACAAAAGTTATTAACATTTTTAGGATATTTCAGAGTGGAGCAAAGAAGCTTATGGTTATAGAAATATGTTTCTGTTTTTTTTTTCTGTGGACAACTTTTCTAGCAAAGATCTTACTCAGACTTTTTGGTGTAGCACCTTTTATAAAAAGAAATTTGACTGGGGAGGTACTTTAAAGAGGTCACTTTTCGATTTTCTCAGGAGTGTTCTCAATAAATGTGAAAAACCGAAAAAAAAAAACGGTTATATCTTAAAATATTACGAATTTTTTTCCTGTGGACAACTTTTCTACCACCAGTTTTGCTCCATTTTATAATGATAGCAATTTTCCTAAAAGCAAATCGGTGTAAGAGATACTTTATTAAAGCCAATTTTCGATTTTCTCAGGAATTTTCTCAATAAATGTGAAAATCTGAAAAAACGGATGAATAACGGGAAAATGTACGAAATATATTAGTAAAGTATTTATAATATTGATTATATGCTTAAAAATATCATACCAATCATAATTGTTACGATTTCATCTCGTATTTGCTCGTGTGACATTGCGTGATGGTTCCCCAAGAGAATTTCTATTACCGTTCTGGTTTTTCGGCCAAAGTCTTCATCTTCTGTTTCGTTTTTTTCTCCCTCACAACTGATAATGCTTCTGTTGAGCTCATCGATTTTAGTATTTATTATCTCATCTGTAAACTGGTTTATGATTTGTTGGCATTGGTAGTGTTTGTGTTGTACTGACGATAACCTGAACACCGTTTTATTCAAATACCACGGATGCGAGATTCGATATTCCCACGCCTAAAAAAAGTAGATAAAGTAGACAGCATCAGTGTAGGTACTATAAGATAAGTAGATACATAATATTATTGTGTTATGGGAAAATAATAATACATATATATGACCTTGCATATTTTATTAATACTTACGTGCATCGCCGTTTGTAAATTTTCAACAAATCGATGACATCCACCGTTTTGAGCGTTAAATTTCACGCCCAAAGCCGTTTTCCCAATCATTTCCATTGTGGCCATACTAACAGGAAAACTTATATCACAGTCATTCGAATTCGAAATTGCACATTTTGCCCGCAGTACATTGTTGAGGGTATTAGCTTCTTCGTAAAATATCGGTATAAACGATTTTATAATAGTAAAACTAAAACCTCCAGATACCATTTTTCTATATCAATAATCAATAATATATAATCAAATAATAAGTTATAATATAAAACAATAATCCCAGTTATGTTAATAGTAAACGCGGTGTCTGCCATTTTCATTTTTGGGTTCCATTAAAGATTACCTGTTGTTCTTCCACTTTTTAATGTCGGAGATTGAAAATATTCCTTGTCCCATGATGGACTCTTGTAAGACCAAATATTCCTTAGATTTCTTTTGTAATTTCGGATTGGTTAGAACTAACTCAATGTCTTCAGGGTCTGTGAGCACGATATATAGATGATTACAAACCCATATTTTAAACAAAGAGCCCTTGTACCTAAAACGATTTTCACATATAAATTATAATATAATGAATTGAAAGTGCCTTAATATTACCAAATCCGATTTGTGAATTATTAATCTTAGCTATAATTTTAATGGGTATTTCGAGGATTATTTCGAAGGGTGGTTTATATACGGTTGGAAACTCAGAACAAATATAATCAATCTTATCTCGTCTTAATATTATATATCTATAGATACAGAGTTTAATTTTAACATATTTTTGATTACAAAATATTATGTTCTTTTAAAAAACATAATTATTGTTAGGAAAAAAAATTATTTAAGTTTGAAATATGAGAAAGAGTTTTATATTTACTTATATAAAAAATGTAATTATTATTATTATTTTTTTATGTCTAAAAATCGCTACATATATTTTGATCTGTATATACAATAATATGAAATATATAGTAACGTCGTAATATTAATTTAATGAATATTGGTTTTTAGGTAAATCTCCAAACGCTCTGTCATGGAAAAAATGACTTGAGAATAGAAAAAAAAAATGTTTTTTTTTTATGCTATTATTATTATTTTTAATGTTATTATCCTGACGTAATATTATGATCTATGGATATTAGGATGGACCAAAAAAAAAAAACTTAGATTATTATTTTCTATTATTACTAATCCTAAATATTTTTTGTAAAGGTTTAAACTATTTTTTTTCATATTCCTTGTAAAATTTACTCCAAAAGCCATGCATATACTTGTTCAACTATTCTAAATTTGATAAGGATAAAATAATTTATTAAGTTGAAAATAAAACTAAGATTAATTAAAAACAACAAATGTATTAATTAATTAATTTATGTCTATATTATGTAATCCAGAGAGGGTCCCTCTTAAAGCCCAAAAATGCTAATTAATAATCAAAAAAATTATGTATACAGTCGTATCTTCGTGCCGATAATTTAAAGTTATAGTTAAATATGAAGTGGTAAGATATTTTTTTGATAAAGATGTCATCGAACCAAAAAATTGATTATTTATGGACCATAGTGTATATCTACAACCGTGTTATCATGGTTTATATTAGTAGTTGTGTAGGGATAATGGAATATAAATTAGTTACTGTCATCGTCAATTTTAATCACTATCCCGGGTCCACACAAGGAAGAATATTCCACGTACAATTAAATCTTTTATCAAAAAAGGAATCTGTCAGGATTTAAGTTTACAACCTTGAAATTACTAAATTAATTAATTAAATATTATTTGTTAATTTGAGTTTATTTCTAAATTGTCTCAACTTTATTTTCTCGTATTATTTATAATAAACTGTTATTACTTCATTTCAGTTTTTCTCAATTTTTTAAATCATACATTTTTCTTTTGTAATTGAGTTCTTCGGAATCGTTTTTAGTCAACAATAGTTTATCGTTGCTTACAGGTAAAAATTAAATAATTTTATGTATTCCACCTTCCCAACTACCAGTCTACAACAGTGGCCACACCCATTCCCAGTATCAGTTGTCAATATCCCTCTGTGCACCACTGATTAAAACGCAATAATGCATTGATAACCTAAACTTATTTGATACATAAAAGTTCAAATTCGCAACTTTGTGAAATTAATGTCCAACAAATTCTGAATGTTGTTCAACCAGAACTTACTTTCGATAAATATTTTTCCCATGTTTGATGAGTAACTCCGGTCCCAGTAGAAATATTGGCAGTAATCCAACAAGAAAATATCCATCAGGACCTGGTATACGATTAGCTAATATTATTTTTCTTCTTCCTTTGAACATCAATACCGTAATGGTTATGGCCAACAACAAAATGCAAGTTAAATACCACATTATATTCGATTTGTTTAAGTCTATAATCTGTAAACATATTTCATTCAAAACGATTAGGTAGATAGGTATAGTATATTAAACAGAGTAATTCACTCAAATTGGAATATTCGATTATCTTGGAAAGTATTAGTTTTTTTTTTCAAAAAATAAAAAAACGGCCGTTTTGTTAAAAAAAAAAAAAATAATAATAATAATAATAATAACACAAATAGTTCTAAAATATTAATACGTTTCGAAATAATTGGTATTTCCAGTTGAGTGAAGTACTCTGTATATTTTTAGTTTTAGTTTCGTATTTTTAATACTAACTGCATTAAAAAGCTATAAGACATTAAAAAGAATAATAACAATAATTCTGGGCGCAGCAAGAAATTTACTTATGTATGATTATGATTTACGTTTTTATATGATATGCAGTTTTTAGATTTTGAGCGAAGTAAAGAATATATCTTTAAATATATAGGATATTTATTTAAGATTCTGAACGGAATGTAGAATATATTTATTTTTTTTAAATTTTTTTTTCTGCGAACTACTTTTTTATCAGAATTTTTGTTCCGATTTTTAAGTGTATAGCTGTTTTTCTTAAAGGAAATCTGACTGAGGTGGTACTTTTGGGGAGGTTATGTTTTGATCTTCCCAGATATTTTATAATAAATGGGAAAAAACGTGGGCAAACAGGGAAAATGTACGAAATGTATTGTTTTCAAATCGTTAATATTACAGCCTTTCAAAACATATATAACCGAAGTCCGCTTAACATCATATTTTGTTTGCAAACATTAATCGTTACGTACAGAAATACATACAATTTATCCTTTACCTTCTCAACTTCTCACCTAAAACAGTGGCCCACTCTTCTTGCAAAATTTATCCATTTGTTTTTTTTTTTTATTTTTGTTCCTTTAAAATAATCGTAGAAAACCGAATTTTTTAAAAAATACTTATATTAACTAATGTGGTAACATTTTCATAATATCATGTAGAATTTTGAGCTAATTATTTGTGTTATATTATATTTTATATTTAATTATATTTTTCTGTTACAAATCCAAATAATTTTCAATTTAAATTTATCAAAACATATTTCGGAAAAACATTAGGAAAACTGGGAAAACTTACGCAATTACGGTTTTCATTATTTTGGATTTTGTTTCTTTTTAGATGCTAAGTGTATTCGATATGTAATGTGATACTTTTTCTGAAAGGAAATTTAGTCTACATGATACTTTAAGGAGATCTTTTTTTTGATTTTTGAAACGGTTTTCATAATACCTGGAAAAACTCAGGATAAAATTAAAAAAAAAAAAACAGGAAATTTATGAAAATAATGCTCTTTTTATTTTCAAATTTGTTTTTTGTTTGTATTTATTCAGTTAAAAATATTCATAGAGATTTTATGGACTTGAAATTCGAACAGAAACTTATATTGTCTTTTTCTAGACGTGGTAAAATTTAAAGCCATTTTAGCCTTTAGCCATTTTTGAGCTATTTATAGACATTTTAATTTTGTGAGTTTTCTATGTAATTTTTATTCGGTAGGTTGTATAAACATTACAACTGTTTAATGTTAATTTGGATATTATTTTTTCATTACTGCAGTATGGCATTTAAATACTATCGTTTGGTAAACCTATTATATTGGTGGAACTCATAGGCGACGATTGTTATTGTGAACGTATAATATCGACCGATGTTAACATAGAAATTCAAATCAAAATGTATTCGTTTTTCGTAAATGTGACACTTTGAGTAATACAGATAGAGTGTCTATGATATGTCAATAATTTATTAGGAAATAAGACGCGAGTTATTTAAAAATTATTATCATTATCAGTGTGACTCACATGTATAGTTTATTGAAGTTATTAAATAGGTAGTTGCTGGTCAGTGTCCAGGACCGGACCGGATGTAGGGAGGAGCGGTCTCAAGGCCTCCGCAAACTCCTTCTACTTGTATAGAATCCCTACAAGTTAATAACCACAAATAGTAAGAGAATTTTTTTATATCTTTGTAGTGAAGCTGGGCAGGACAGGTACTTACCTAGTGTTTCAAAAATGAGAGTCTACATATAATTAAAATTACAACGTGGAAAAATAATAATATTAAATCATTAATATTATCATAAAAATTAATTTATACCTGGTTAGATAAAAACATAAAAGCCAGTACAAAAATATTTTTTAAAAAAATCACTAGGTATGTGGTAATTTGGTATGGATTCAACAAAGGGAGCTACTTACATTTAACAAATATATTAAATATTTTCAAATAAATAAATAATTATATTACTAACTAATAAGTTTTATAATTTATAACTTGTTTAATAACAAATCGCTTTTGCAAAGATATGGATGGATGGGCCGAATAAGTATTAAATTTAAATTAGGTAGGTATGCAATAACGTAGATAACGATTTTATTTAATCATATTTGATGTAAAATACAATTTGAACTAACGTTTAGTTTGTGCAGTTTGCTTATTACAACCACACGAGCGAGTTTTTTTAATTTGGTAATTTTGATCACGGATTTAGATATGCAGGACTGGACATGACATGATGACATGGTTGGAGGGAGTAGGGGGTTTGACCATAAAATGTTATAGAACAGGCGGAGTACGGAGTATTTCACTTTGTAGCACTACTCGCACTGTCTTAGTGGATACTACGGAACTAAATTACATTATCGTAAATTACAATATGCTCCAGTGCTCTATTAAATAATAAAATATACTAAATATGACTGCCTACCATAAAATGTATGTTTTTATTAATAATGTATGAACAATTTCATACATTATTATATTATACTTTATATTATGTTTTTTGAAGCTTTTATAATGATTTCTTTTTGGAACTATTTTATGTAAGTTCTCTGGTATATATTAATGTAAATTGTTTTATTCTCATCATAATATAATTTTGAAAGATGGTTGTTAAAATTTCTGATTTGTGTTCTGGACAAGAAAGGTTAGTAAATTCGAATGTTTTTCTAATACTTAACCAAGTGTATTGTTAAAAACATCTTTGTTCATACTTATTCAATCCATCGTTAATAACTGTTATTAATTTAAATAAATAATAATTTGGATGTATAAGAAAACCTTTGATTTTTATTTGTGTGAGTGCAGACTGAAGATGCGTACCAGTACCTAAAAATTATTGAACGTGCAATAAATAATTTTATAAACTACGAGGTGTTTATCTTATAAATTATAACTAATAACTACCTTTTAAAGTCAATACAAATTTGTATATTTCAACACTTGTCGGCAAACATAACCACAGATGTAATACAGTTTTGCTCAAGTATCGTAGACACTTTGCGTTTTGCCCGGGTATTTTTGAGATTTTCCTGATTCCGGCTATTGCCCGTAACATATCTATATATGCATATAAAAAAGAACGTTCGTTTGTTTGTCCTTTATAGACTCAAAAACTACTGGACCAATTTTAACGGGGGTTTTTTACAAAATATTGTGCTCCGTGTGGTCCGGAGAAGGTTTATAGCTATTGAAATTTCTAAAATTCAATTCAAAATTCAAGGATAGCTGTCAGGGATTTTGTTATATAATGGTATAATTTTTGTTGATTGGGATACCTTGGTAACAAAATAAAGTTATTAGTATTTTTCTTTTGATTATGTGGTATCTATGGTATCTAATAAATATCGTTTGTTAAATCAGCTACAAAAAAAAAAAAGGATGGACATACTTCGCACGTGGGTGCAGCCACTGTTGTAGGTGGAAAGTTGAGAAGGTAGGATATAGACGGGAATTTAATGTATATTTATAAGCAACGATAAACTATTGCTAACAAAAAAACGACTCTGAGCGGAGTTCAGTAGATAGTATATCGCTTTGTCAGCAATACAATATATGGTATATATCATATTATGGTAAAATGATTATAATGAGTATTTGTCTGTTTGTCTCTTATGCCTTCCTAAATCGTTCATCCGATCGCCATGAAACTTTGGGAAGTTGTTGATTACATACACGTGAAGATTTTTGACATAGTACATTTATGCAATTTTTTTGATAGATCCACTATCACCCATAAAAACTGGGTTTTAGGTACTTTTGGTACGAAGATAAAATCTTTGTTTTTATTTATGGGTTACCTTGGTAACATATTGATGCAAAAAATAAATATTATTAGTTAACTGGGTTGTCATGGGAAAATTCTTATTATGTCTATGGTATGGATTCTATGAGTACGTTTATAGGTAATTAAGTATTTTTTTGTCGTGATTGTAGAGAAAATATTTAATTTTAATTGCCAACGAAGAATAAATATTATTCAGTTTATTCAGTTTATATATGGGTGATAAAGACATATGTAAAACATGCGATATTATAAGATATACACAAGACATATCATTTTTGATTTTTCAAGTTATGCCCCCCTTCCCCAAACGAAAACCGATTGGTCAATCTACATCTAATGCACGAAAAAAAAGGTATCATGAGAAACGGAAAGCAAGATTAGAGAAAATGAATATAATAAATAAAAAAAAAAATAAAAAATTGACATATAGCATATGTATATTATACATATATAAGCTGTCCTGCCCGGTGTTGCTAGTACCAATTTTTTAATATTTTTTTCTTTTATATACAGGCTGTCCCACATAGATATACCCTTTAAGTATCTCCGGAGATAATAATGATGATCAAATTCTGTTTTTTTTTTTCATGTTACTCGCAGGGTTGAGGACGAAAAATATTTAAATTTTAATTAAATAATTACTTTATTTTATTATTTTCCGAAAATTTTAAGATAACCATTCTGTAGAGTTTATTTTTCTAAAAATTTTAATGTACTACACATTTATGTCTGATGAATAGTTTTTACGAAACAGCCGTTTTAAATTCTACTAATCCGAAATTAACTGAAAACTGATATTATCTAGAGAATAACCTAACCACGTTACGCGATACTCCAGAATTTTAGGTAAACGGTTGCATTGATTTTAAGATACCTATTATGTTAGAAATCATAAAGAAATAAATCTTATAAATTAATATTTAAAGAATATTACATAAATAATAAATAAGCAAATTTTATGTGACTTGGATTTTGTAGGTGAATATATGGTACACTGCAGGTCATTTAACAGCTCTAGTTAAATTGTTAGTGTGCGCCACTACAACTGGCTATTAAGATACTAGAACGGGGGATTTTTTTTTTTTTTAAATAATGGTGAAATGATTAACTTATGAACAATTTGGAACAACATAAGTATAGACATAGATACTGTTACATAGTTTTAAACTGAATAGTTTAAAATTTTATTTCTCGATATGTGTTCAACAATAATTTTAAAGTTTAATTTAATTGCAGATGCATCAAAATGAAAAAGTAGCATTGATTGTTAAATAAAAAAAGTTGGTAGGTATTGACTTATAATTATTTAATTGCGCTCGTTAAGAGACGAGATTCGATAATTCAATTTTGGCATATTATTAATTTAATTATTTAGTTTAATATTTAAATTTCAAGAGCCCAAAGTTTTACACTTTTACCAACGAAATGTAATGATTTTTTATACTATCATTGAGAATATTTAAATATAGGTACTTTTGTTAAATTTATGAAAAAAAAACTAACCAAAGTTAAAGAATATTATTGAAATTGCACTGTTAGCATGCCTGCCAACTTTATAATTCTCTATTTATATTTCTACCGTTTTTTCTCAATTAAATAGGATAATTCCCTATCCAGTAACAATTTATTCGATTTTAAAAGAAAAACCCACTCGGCTCTTTTATAGACCACCGCGTCATATAATTCATTTTTAATGGTGTGTGAATTGTCCATTATGTTGTTAAAAAAACATTTGCGGTCCAAATAATATATCTTGCCGATAACAGGTAATGTAAAATTGAATAAAGTGCATACGAAAAATTCAACAATCGCTAAACAAATCGCCATTAGATTTGTGTGTGATTTTTTACAATATACTGTATATAACAGTGACGTACGCTGGGGAGAGGGGCTAAAGGGCTGAAGCCTTCCCCATTGACCGTATTAATATTTATATTTTATATACATACAGATTTGTTTATATTTTTCAAGTTTCAATAGCAACAATAAATTGTAAATAAGGACCCTTTTTCATAAAATACGCTATTTTCGTGAGTAAATAATTAAATTTAACACTGCTGTCTATTAATAACCGTACTATACTACTATTTTATCGTAAATAAGAACTTATTCGATTTATACGATTATTATTTTTTATTATTTATTTTAACTGTGGTCACACTTTTTATAAACAATGGTTTTGTTATTATTACAACATTGGTGGTTAGTATTATCGTGCATGCGCAGGCTTTCACAGTCCTACACAACCTTAAATAATATCTATGATTGAAAATTAAAACATTGAACTTACTGAACTGATGTTAACAACTATTAACGCATCGTTAAGTTAGCCCACAAATGTAGATATTACTAATATAATCTTTAATTAGTAAAAAACAATTAGGTAGGTATGTAGATAATTTTGTTTTCACTTATTTCTCTTTAGTATCAAAGTAATAATATTTTGTATACGTTTTTCGTTATTGTTTTTGTGTAAAACGTATCTTATAAATTTTCACACTAAAATAATTATTCAATTATTCATTATGGTAGAAAAAAAATTGAAGATTGAAAACTCTAAAGAACAAAAATGGAAGATAAGTATGCAATCCACAATTCATAAAATTTTAATTTTGGTTGACTTCTGGCTTTTTAATCTTCTACTAGCTTAAAAATTGTATTTTGGTGCCCAACATTTTCATAGTTACCTAAATATTGCTTTTTAGATTCTGAGTTTACCGAAGAATATTTTTGTTCTACAAAGATGTTTACTTTTTTTTAAATTTTTTTTTATGTGAACATTTTTACAACCAGCAATATTACTCCGATTATCAAGTATAGTACCTATTTTAAAAGGAAATGTTCTTTGGGTGGTACTTTAAAGAGGTCATTTTTTGAAATTCTCATTAATATTCGAGATAATGATGATTTTTACCTATTTATGGTAGAATTCCAAAAGTTAATGGAAAGGTTTGGTCTATCTCTTCGTTATTTTTAGGGAGGAATAAGTGACACGTAGTAGATATCCACTAGATTATTTATTAGGTAAAAACAGAAAACATTATAAATAGTATGTAAAGAAATTAAAAAAATCAAAAAGAATGATTTAAATGTGGGCCTAAAATATTAGGCTTAGGTTACTAAACATAATATTATCATGCAACACGTTGATAATAGTCGTTCGAACTTTATACACGTTGTCAAACAGAATATTATGACGAGTTATGTAGTCTTATAATATGAGCTAAAAAAAAAAAAATCGCATTCATTATAAATTTACCGCCCTATTATAAATAATATACCCATACAATACGAATAAGATAATTTTTCGTTAACTCTGCATTTTTCCACCCGACGAAAAATATGTACACAACAATAATATTATTTATTTCGTTTTAAACAAACGCACGCGGTTTTCATCGCGTTCGTGTAGTCGCATATGAGTGTTGAAAACGATTTTTTATTCATTTTTTGTTTACGTCCCCCAACGTGCGATGTTTCGTCATGTATCATGTTATGTACGCAAAAAAAAACCCCTGTACTTACTTGTGTCGTATGAGACGACGACGACGAGACGGATTTCAAACTCAGAAAATATAATTTATTGCGTGCACGTAAAACCCATTTGGACACGGAAATTCTCCACTTCCCCTTCTCTCACGAAATTTTTTTTCCTTTTTTGTTCTTTCTATTTTTCTCCTAAAACTCCCACCACGTGACAATAAAAAATGGCCTTCTGCTTTCCAGAAACACACTTATGACTTATGTCGTTTTCGTTTTTGAACGGAAAAAATAAACGGTTATATAATAGATACCATCCCGCGGTGAGCAGCAATTTTTTCGTTAAGAGAATGACGTATAATATGATAAATTCAGTGTTTGGAAAGATATTTTTATCTAATAGATAATGTATAAAGAAAACGAATAAAATGTATTTAAAAAAAAAAGATAAAATATAATGTTTAGTTACCTATGTAAGAATAATATAATTTATACTTAATAAGTTAATTTTTGACTTAAATTTTATTATTATCGAATAGCGACAAATGGATGTTGCCACTTAGACGTGGCCGTTTAGACATTGATACAAATAAACGTCAAAAAAGATTAAAAAACAAAATTAAAAAAGTTAAAAATATTAAAATTTAAAAGTTAAATAAGTTCAATATTTTTATAGAAAAATAAAAATATAATTTTAGTTCTAATTTATTTACATAAATTATCTAAATTGTATAAATTATAAAACCGATAATATGGGTACCTACATAATATACATATAACTTATCTTAAGTACTTTATTTTGTTTTTGTTTGCACCTACAGAATTGAGTCATCTGTTATAAAATACTTCCCAACAGCTGCTATCGTTTATTAAAAAAAATTATAATAAGAGATGTTGAAATCCAATTTATCTCTTCACGGGGTAAGCTCACATTAATATTTAAGAATTAAGATGCTGTTTAATACAAAGGAGTGGGATAAGTGAGGTGACCCGTGTCATCCCCTAAAACGCTATTTTAACTTAGCCTATATATGACCTTGTGACAGCTTCAAAGACTCCATTGGAGTGGACCATAATGATGGAGTCCATCGGGCTGAGCCAGTAAGTGGATTAGGCCTATTGCGACTGGTTGACCCTTGCCTCCTCCTCCCTATCATAGATCAGGCATGGATGCAGAGCAAAGATTTTTTTTTGGGGGGGGGCAAACATTTTTTTACAATACAAATACAATTAAAATAATATAATATATTATTTTATCACACATATCAGTGATTGGAATATAATAATATCAGGATTTATAAAATTATTAAAAAAATCTGAGAAATAATATGTCTGGGGAGGGCCTGGGTTCTTAGGCCCCTTTGGGTCCGTCCCTATTATAGGTACCTTGTGGTTTATTGTTAAACATTATGTATTATAGCAGGCGAAAATTATTGGATTTTAAAACCGTTTAAACATCACTTTTAGATTCCTAGCGTAGCATGAGAGCATTTGGTTTTATTAAGATGTTTATTTTTTTCTTTGTTCTTTGTTCTTGTCTGTGTATACGTTTTTTTCTAGTAAAATTGCTCTGATTTTAACGTGTAGCAATTTTTTTGATTTTCGATGCTATTTTTTAAATAAAAGCACTTAAATGGAAAAAACATATGAAAACGTACAATTACACGATTTTATTATTTTATAAAAACACGGACGACGTTTTCTACTAGAAAAAATGATTTAATTGAAAAATCATAAAAAACCTTTTTTTTCCTTTTGGATTTACTTTCTTACGGTATCACCACCAAAACTTTTGAGCCACTTTTGACCTTTCAAGGAATTTTAACTTTTGGGAATGTTTTGTTGCAATTCGGTGATAAATACACGTAGAGACTCCAAACTTGTTAATAATACTCATTTGAGACTTATCTAAACGTAATAAAATTTCCATAATCATCGGACGGTCATTTTTTTTGATTAGCGCTTTGAAATCAAATTTAAACGAAAATCGCAAAAATTATGTAGTATTGAACTGCACTCTATCTTTTGATGGGATAGGTTACCATTTAAAAATCAAAGTGAGTAGTGGTTCACCCCCTAAAATAAGGGCCACAAAAAAAAAGAAGAAAATTAACATTTTACTCATTATAAAGATACTCATTTCTTAAAAAAAGTTAATAGGTACTTTCCTAGATAATAAGTTTCTTGCGTTATGTTGATTATCTGTATAGAACAAATTATTATTATAGTACAAAACATAATATTATGAATATTATTATTATTTGTAAATTACCAAGGTTACGGTGTAATTTAAAGAAATTGTTTTGAATAATGATGATATTGTCATTTATGCTGTAACGGCACGTATATCAACATTTGATAAAACAAGATTATTATAATATCGGTATTAATAAAACAAGTGGTTTCTAAAATGTTTTGTTAGCTTGTGTTTATTGCAAATCATGATACACCATTTATAAATAAACCTTGTATTAATACATCGTAATAATATAATTCAGATAAGAGTTTTTTCTTAAAATATTAAGATAAGTATTATTTTATAAAATGTGCTGATCATTTTGAAAATCCCCAAAAACTAAGATACGCAGTTTCAGTACATATGACGATATACTTTATATACTTATAGGATCTATTATCTAGTTATATCAGCTTTAATTTTTGGGAAGGGGGATGAAAAACTATTTATATCAGTCAGTGGCGGATCGTGGGTGCTGATGAAGATGGTTAGACTCTATGGAAAATTGCATTATATTAAAATTACAAAAATATAAATATAATAAACTACGTAACACGTAACACGTAACAACTAATAACACACGTGTTTGTATAATATCAACAAACAACTGTTACGACTACAATCTTAAAATATAAGGTCGGACAACTTCTCTCTGTCAACGCACTGGAGATGCTCCGCTTATTTGGGCAAAAACGTTTAAAATATTCACAACATTTTCATAGAACGTTGATTGTTAGACGTTTTCGAGATTAGGAATATTGTAGTAATGGATTACCAAATTACCGCAAAATGTTATAGGCATTTGAATTTGAATAGCGGTACCTAACATATTTCAATAACGTAATATTAGTTTTACAATTATTATACAATATACATTTATAAACATGTGTTTTAAAATATACCTAAATGTTCAAAATGCATAGTTATATAATGGCTATCTTGGATTAAAAAAAAAATAAATATGAAATGAAGAAATCATAAAACAAGGTTAAAAGAAGAAAAAAGAAGAAAAAAACAAATAATACTTAGCTGTAAGATCTTCGTGTTATACTGTAACTGACATCTGGTATAATTGTTTAAGACATTTAAACTCGTAGTTCTTTGAGTTCTTTCGAATTTAAAAACATTAGACACAACATGCAATTTGTTCTCTATTGTTGGTCATAAATAAATACATTAGAGCCGTTAAAGGATAAGTCATAAATATATTGTTATTGTAAACTTGTTGACATAGATAGTTTATTATATTATTAATTATTATTCCGTGATTTTAATGTAATTAAACCTAACCTTTAAATCTTTTAACTGGCAGCGCTCAATTTTACTGCGACAACATTTTAAACATTTTTGAAAAATAAGAGGAACTCTGATAAGGTCGGACAACTATACTTTATCAGCATTCCGATAAGTAAGGTGAACTCATTTTCAAATTGTACCATTATAAAATTGAGCGCTACCCTACAGGCGTTTTTTAAGCATGTGAAATTATACTAGCTTAAAATACCAAAGTTCAAAAAACCATTATGATTTAAGATAGGACTTTCTTAAATCTTGATAACCATGTACTAAAATATATATTATATTCAGCGGAGCAGAGCGTTGAGCGCATAGACCAAATTGTCCAACATTATCTTCTAAGACCGTGGTCTAGATTAACCATTCTTATCTTAAATGTTATAGTCGGCTAAAATGTTCTCTGTGAGCGTATGAATTCGAAAGACTGAAGAAAACCCATTACGTCCCTACTATACATGGCGGCTACTTCTACATACACTTACCATTTTGTGTGTATTAAGGGATTTCTACGGAAATAAGTAAGTAGGTACCTATCTACTCACATGAAACTACAAGCGCGTCGCACACTATAGTACGTTAAAATTAATAGTGACATTGTATGTACAATATGTTATTATTTTCTAATTTTAATGATAACTGAACAATAAAATTTTCATAAATTTAAACTAAAACTACTGCTGTTATCTACGTGTTTACTAAAGGTATTCAAGGAGATAAAGGTAAATATAAGATAATTAGGTTTACCCAGATAACACATATATAAATATAGTACGAATATGTCGTTATCGTTGCATAAATATTGTTTAGATCATTCTACTTAGATAATTTCAATACCGATTGACGATAATAAATTACAATATTATTGTTTGGTATACAAGTCTACGGTCACAGTGAGTTAAATTCCACCAAAAATTTGCTTGTAGCATCTATGCTCTTGATAATTTGAAACTCTATAAATTGAATTAAACGCTTGGTCTGTAGTTATTTTTTCCACCAATTGATGTATTTTATTTTATTTCGCTCCAAATTAAGTTAAAACGATTAAATAATTTTGTTAACGGGTCTAAAAAAAAGAAAGAAATAAAAAAAAAAATTCTACTTATATAGTTTTGTGAGATAAATCACTACGAGAGCGGGAAAAAATCGATTGTAATTCTATTATATTGACAAATTACTTCGGGCACTCTTAATGCGGCGGTGGTGGTGAGACCCCCTACGGCCCACGCATACTCTGCGACGATAAAAATTATACTTAGGCTTGTATAATAATTTTTAACGAAGTTAATCATTATATTCATTAATCGAATTGAACAATATTGCAGGATTGGATTGGATAAAATGAGAACTGTGTTATTTAAAAATATGTTTACAGGAAAAAAAATGAAAATTTATATTTTTATAATTATATAAAACCAATATAACGTCCTCATATTAATTATTGAATCTAGAAACGAGAGGAAGAAAAAATATTCTCGCTATTCTCAATTCCCTATACCTACTCACGAGATGTATGGCTATACATGATATTGATAATGATATTTAATTTGCGAAATTATTATACATGCTGTATAATAAAATAATGTATTTATGTTTTTTTCTTTTTTCTCTTAAAAATAACGCTGGTAAATTAAAATATATATTCTTACATTAAATTCAACAATCCGAATTCTAACCGATTGTATCAGTGGTAATCAAAAGATTTTTTCAGGAGGAATAAGGATAATTTTTTAAATTATTATTAATTGCATAATATATAATTTAAGTACCTATATTAAAAAAATTTATAAAAAAACACGAATGTATTTATAAAATGTATTTTTAAGTTATATTTATGCAATTACTTAGTTTCGGTATATTATCATCATTATGTTATTTATGTTATTTATAACATTGTTTTTGGTTGATTACATATTAACAAAAGGTAAAAATATAAATTTAAATAAAAAATAAAATTTAAAAAAAAAAGACGTCCTAGGATAACGGGGATGGGTGCAGCCATTGTAATAGGTAATTTAATATATACTTGTAAGCAAAGATAAACCATCGCTTACAAAAAAACGATTCTGAGTGTTCAGTTGATGATCTACGCCATATTATAGTAAAATAATTAAATAGGCTCTATACATTTCTTTAATAATATTTGTTTAATGTTGTATCGATTTCCCGGTTTTTCTACGTTTTTCCTGGTGTTCCTGGTTTTTACGTCCATAAAAGCCATACGAATATTTTAAACTGAATTTTAAACAGATTAAAATTTTTATGAAAAGCATTTAAATGACTCAGATACTTTGAAAATTTTACCATACCTAGAAAAAGCAAACATAATTTTTCTACCCAATTTTCAAGTCTTTACGAACATTTTTAACTGACTTACAATAAATAACAAAACTGAAATAATAATAAAATCATTATTTTCGTAAATTTCGTTTTATCTTGGTTTTTCCCAGATATTATGAAAACCGATTGAAAAATCAAATAATGACCTCTTAAAACAATGGTTTATTATCTGGGTAATATTTTCTCCGCGTATTTTTCTGCACGTATATATCGGAGCAAGATTTCTGGTAGAATTTTTGTACATATCTTTGTAAAACTTTGTAAAAGTCAACATATTCAATAACATTAGACATAAACGTTTATTGTATAACACAACATTATCAATATGAACTAAGTCAGTTTATTTCTTTTGAAATATCTTAAAGAAAAAAAAACGTAAATAAAAAAAATCTCAGACGGGAATTTCTTTATATCACTAAGGAGATTGTATTTCTCTATGATATTATAATTTTTTTGCGCTTTACGTTGAGCGGCCAATACTGAATTTTTTTTTGGGCATTTTAGGTATTTTATAACATTAAAAGAAGACTATCATATTTCACAAGTGGGTTCAGTCACTGCTGTAGGTGAGAACGATGGCGTAGCGAGAAAGGTGTTTTGGTGTTAAAACACCTCTCCTTTTGACCATATTTTTGCCGAATATTATAATTTATACTGTATGCAGTTTTGCATTAGGTTTTTATAAAAGGTGCTGTGTTATGCTTACGTACTGCTATAAATTATAGCCTATAATTATTAAGTATGATGATGTGATGATATTAAGTATGTTATATGTGCAAAATAAAGTTAAAAATAAGTTATATCTAAACACAAAATAAAAATACCCCCCTTAAAAAAATTCTGGCTATGCCACTGGGTGGGAAGTTAAAAGAAGGTATGATTCAGAAGGGAATTTATATCTGTATGCAACGATAAAACATTGCAAATGAAAAAACGATTCTGAGAGCAGTTCTGTTGATAGTGGTGCTTAAGTATAGAATGAAGAAATATAAGAATTAATAGTTAGACAAATGTATTGAAATGGAAATTTATTTTATTTTTATATAGCTCGTTCTATAGTATTGTTTTTTCAACAATCTGCGTTTCTATGACAACAATGATTGTTTAAAAAAGATTTAAAATAATACAAATTAAATAAAAACGGTTGCCAATGACAACCTTTTTAATTTTCCAGATTTTCTTTATAATTTGGAATATTAATGATAATTTCAAAAAATGGCCTGTTTAAAGTACCACCCAGAGAATATTTCCTTTCAGAAAAGGTGTTAGACTTGAAAATTGAATGTTTTCTGGTAGAAAAAGTGTTTACATAAAAAAAAATGATGCCCTAAGATAATGGAGACGAGCGCAGCCACTGTTATAGGTAATTTAAAGTATACCTGTAAGCAACAATAAACTATTGCTAATGAAAAAACGATTCTGAGCACAGTTCAGTTAATAGTGATAGCTTTGTCAACATTATATATGCCATATTATGGTAAAATAATTAAATAGGCATTATATATTTTCTTTAATAATATTTGTTTAATATTGTACTGACTGTCTCATGTTTTTTCCCGATTTTTCCCATTTATTTGGAAAACTCCTAGGAAAACTAAAAAAATACTTCTTTAAAGTACCTTTTCAGTCAGATTTTCGTTCAGAAAAAGTGGTATTATTTTAAATCGGAGCAAAATTGCTGGTAGAAAAGTTTGCACAACAAATCGAGGGGTATTGTGCGATTGAAATAGTCCGAGGGAGCGATGACTTAGGCTCTTTGAAAAATGTATTTGCTATGTTGAAAATAAATCTAATACTATAATAAATACTGCTCCTTTTTTTTGTATTTATCAATATGTCCGTTTTGGCGCTACTTGCTACAAAATTACATAAATATTAAAGATTTAACGGAAATCTGTTGATTTAAGTAAGGTGATTACATTTGTTGCAAAGCTCTTTACGGATATATGTATTTTTAAGTCCTATTATTTGAACGAGTTGAAAACTATAATTGATTAAAGCTGAACGTTTAGACTAGAAACCGAGATAATAATATAATAGCTCGCGTTATAAATCGTAATTTCTGTTAATCTTATTTACTTATCTTTTTAATTATAGTTTTTTTTAGCTCCCAAAACATTTAAATAGCTTTCGTTTATTAATACAAATAATATAAATAATAATATACATCGTGTAAACCGTATAATACGAGTAGCCAGTAGGTATTATACTCATCCGTCAGTTAAGTTAGGTTTGGTCAGGTTTTATCTATTGTCTTCGTCTTACGACCGTACGGCTTAGTAGATTTGCATTCTGCAGAACCAATTCTGGCTTCTTATTTTTTTATACTAGAGCGAATTTGATCTAGTGTCAAACGTAAAGGGGAGGACATTATCAGTGTTTGTACGTTGATTTTATTTCGTTATTGTAATATTTTGAAGTAAAAAACGAGTAAATGAAATATCACGATTTAAAAGTACTGGTATCACACATAAAAAATTAAAATATCGAGAAAAAAAGTCGACGTACAACGTGGATAATATTCTTATACGTTTAACCCACCATGAGTCGCATCACGGTCTTTTAGACCGTGAGTTTATTATTTTACTAATTACTTATTGTGAGTAATTTTCTTTATTTCGTGCAATGTGATACCTTTAACGTACATGTTAAGCAATTTTTTAAAACTATTTAAAACATTTAATTATTATTTGTCGAATTTATAGCCATTTTTAAAATCTGTAACCAGTCAAAAATACCGTGTGCGATTAAGCACGGTATCAATTTTGTTAGGTATTATTTTCATCGACGTTCAATTTTAAACGAAAAAAACCAACAAAAACAATTTATCCAATCCCTTACCTCTTATCTCTCCAAATAATTAGTCAAAGGTTGCAATATTTTCGTTTAGTTTTATACACGTCACGTTGTTATCACACGCTTATGCCTGTGTTTTTAATAATTTATTTTTACTTTAGTATAATAGTTCCATTAATACTAACTTTTATTGTAAAACATTGTAAATAAATGAAATATTTGTGCAAATTATTAATAAATGAATTTGTATGTAAAATGTTTTAAAAAATGTAGGATATAAGTGAACAGTCAAAAAAACCTTGTGCGACTACACGTGTTACAAATAATGATGCGACTCATAGCGGGTTAAGTTTGACATTGATATTGAATTCGCTCTAATATTAAAACTAAAAGCGAAAAAAAGTCGAGTCGGCTGAATAGTAAATTTTTTTTGTCGTATGTGACAGCGACAAAATGACCATTCATAGCGTCTTCTTAAACTAAATTAAACTAAACCCAAATTAAATATTATATTGCATTACGATTTACCTTTTGTATAAGCGTATTCATTTTTTTTAAAAATTATTTTTATAATAATAATATTGAAATGTTCACTAAACGTTCGCACAATAAATATTATTTTAGTACATAATATAATATTATATATAATTTCGAAATGACAAGTGGCATACGCGACGTAAGAACGAACAATAAACTAATGACGCCCATAGTGGCTCACTTATATATTATTTTCCCTTTCCTTGACAGTTTTACGTCGTCGATTTAACAAAATATCACGCGGATAGGCACACACATTTCCATTTAAATACGCGTACTTTATATTTAAAATATTATATTAGGTATGCAACTATATCGTATTACTTTTAAATAAATACACGGAATACAAAATACGAATATAATAATATCATAAGAAGGTAGATATTTCTATGACCTAAAAATTTTGTTACTTGTTAAAATTCAATTAAAAATATTCGTATAGCTTTTATGGAACTAAAATTTGAAAAATTAAATTCAAGTAATCAAATTTTCAAAAAATTTAAGCCATTTTTTTAACTATTTATAGACATTTTAATTTTGCGAATTTTATTTGGTAGATACTGTGTGTAGTACAATTATTAGACTAAACAGAAATGCGTGAAAATTTAACAGGAGGTTCATTAAAAGTTTTACTTTGTGGTAAAAAAAAAAATTAAGTTTAATGTAGTATTTTATTACAAAGGAATTTTAATATTAAATTTTAACGAAAATAGTTTGAATAAAGAAATTATGTGGAACAAATCTAATTTTTCATTTTTTTTTTTTGTTTTAAACATAAGTATATTGCCGATTTAAGAACGATGGTGAAGTCAGTATTTTGCGTAATGACTAGTTTGGAAATTATAGCTATCTGAAGTACTGATATGCCGATATTATAAGTGTAAGGTGTATTATATGGTATATTATGTGGTAAATAACTCTAAATTAGCAATTATATTATTTATTATTATATTATTTTATGTCTGTCATAGTTTAGTAATGGTACGTATCTAATTTTATTCTAGTGATCGAAAGTTAAAACGCGAGTTCCGAAAAATATTTTTGCAAATTTTTCTCATGTTACCTAAATAGTGAATAAACAAATGTATTTTTGGTGCATTTAAAAACCCAAGTTACGCTTACTTGGAATTTTTTATTCGAAAATACCCCTTAACTTGCACAAACTTTTCCACTAGAAACCTTACTCTGATGTATCAAGTGAAACACATTTCCTGAGAGGAAATTTTATCAACAAAGTACTTTTAGGGGGTCATTTTTTGATTTTCCCTGGAGTTTTCCCTATTCAAGGAAAACATAGAAAAACCCAGAAAAAAAAGGAAAATAAATACAATATTAAACAAATATTATTAAAGAAAATATATAATGCATTATTACATTTATACTGGCATTTATTAGTGCACTGGTGTTTAAAGTTACTACACACGCCACTGGACAAACTGCAGTCTAAAAACTTCCAGTTGTCTTTGTATGAGAAAAATCTCTTCTAAGATAATGGGGAAAGGTGCACTCACTGTTATAGGTGGGAAGTTGGGAAGGTAAGATACTACAAGAAATTAATGTATATGGTTATAAACCATTTCTAACGAAAAAAGCGATTTTGAGCAAAGTTCAATTGATAATGTTGCTTTGTCAACAATATATATGTCATATAATGGTAAAATAATTATATATGCACCAAATATTTTTTTTAGTAATATTTGTTTAATATTGTACCTATTTTTCTGTTTTCCCGGTTTTACCATGTTTTTTCAAGGTTTTTCCTATTTCTTGGGAAAATAAAATAATGACCTTTCTGAAGTACTACCCTAGTCAGATTTCCGTCCAGGAAAAATGCTGTTATTGTAAATCGGAGCAAAATTGCAGGTAGAAAAATTGTTTACAGATAAAAAAAATATATATACATAATTGTAAAATTGATTAGCGAATCAGTTAAGAGACGTGCTGAAATTTTACGAGTATTATAGTTAGTAAATTGCTATGTGGTAAAATAATTAACTATGCATTATATATTTTCTCAATAATATTTGTTTAATATTATACCGATTTTTCCGTTTTTTCTATGTTTTTCCCAGTTTTTCACATTTGCTGGGAACACTAAGGAAAATCGAAAAACTTTTCTAAAGTATCTTTCCAGTCAGATTTCCTTTTAGAGAAAGTACCTAACTACTGTTGTAAATCGGAGCGAAATTGGTAAAAGAAAAATTGTCCATGGAAAAAAAAAACAATAATATTTTACTAACGTATTTCGTATATTTTCCCATTTTTTCTCATTTTTCCCCTTTTATTAGGAAAACTGCAGGGGTAATAAAATGACCTCTTTAAAGTATCACCCCAAGAAAATTTCTTTTCTCATCCTTGGTCTTCCTCTTCCTATATGGCCTTCAACGTCGCCTTCTATGACGGTTTTCGATAGACTCTCATGGCGTAGTAGATATCCTATCATTTTAGCTCTTTTAGCTTTTATGGTATGNATACTGCTTCATTCGTTATTCTATCAATCCATTTAATTCTTAACATTTTACGATAGCACCACATTTCGAAGGTCTCTAGTTTTCTTTTCTCTATTGCACTGATTGTCCAGGTTTCACAGCCATATAGAGCTCCATACATATATTTTTGAGAACCTTTTTATCTCCTACTATTAGAACCTTATCTCTAAGTCCATACTATTGGTGGTTAGTAGGTGTTTTTTATTCTGGAAAGCCCTCTTCGCTTGTGCTATTCTACTTATTATGTCATCTTTACAACGGCCATCTTCCGTTATTTTACTTCCCAAGTAATTAAAGTGATGCACTTGTTCAATGCGTGCGTTATCTATAAGTATACTAAGTAGAACCGGGTTTGTCTTGCTGCACGCCATAACCTTTGTCTTTTTTATATTAAATCGCATTCCATATTTGTCCCATAATATTTTATTGACCTTAGTTAAAATCCTTTGCAGGTCATTCTCTGTTTCTACGCAAAAAGAAATGTCATCAGCAAATCTCAATGCGTTAATTGTTTCTCCACCTATTCTAACTCCTTGTTTTACTTCTATTCTTAATTCTTTCATTACTTCTTCAATATACAGATTAAACAGCATCGGTGATAAGTTGCAGCCCTGTCATACACCCTTTTTAATTTTTGCTATTTCTTCTTTCCCATCTATACGTATTAGTAAAGTTTGGTTTTTGTATAAATTATAGATGCATCTATCTGTCGTAATACTTAATCCCAATCGATTTTAGAATATCGAATAATATACTCCACTTTACATTATCAAACGCCTTCTCCAAATCGACAAAGGCTTTAAATGTATCTTTGTTTTTTCTAATTTGTTTTTCAATTAATACTCTCAGCGTTACGATTGCCTCCCTGGTTCCTATGTTTTTTCTGAATCCGAATTTATCTTTACCCAGATTTTCTTCTATCTTTTTGTCTATCCTGTTTTTGATTATTCTGGTGATGATTNTGGAGGCATGTGTGATGAGGTTTAATGTTCTGTATTCTTCACATTTTTGTGTACCTTTCTTTTTTGGAATCAGTATCACAATACCCTTTTCGAAATCACTAATGGTTTTTCCTTTTAAATATATTTTATTGCATATTTTGTACAGTTCTTTTCTAACAACTACGTCTGTGTATTTAAGTAACTCTGCTGGGATTTCATCTACACCATACGCTTTATTGTTTTTAATGAAGTCAATCGCATGATCAAATTCTGCATGTAAGATATAATCACCTTTATCATCTTCATCTATATTATCTTTTTCCTCAAATATCATAGTTGAATTATCTTCGTATAATTTGTCTAGATATTCTTTCCATCTTTTTGCTTTTTGATCAGCTTCTAGTATTTATTCGCCGTTTTTGTTTATTAGGGTTCCTGCGTTTTGTTTCCTTTCACGGAAAAGCTTTTTAATTTCTAAAAACGCCAAGTCACTTCTTCCTCTTTTTAAAAATTCTTCTGCTTCCTTACACTGTTCATCTAGCAATACTTCTTTAGCTTTTTTTATCTTCCTTTGCACGCCATTCTGTATTCTTTTGTATTGTTCTTGTTCTTGAGTGCTAATTTGATTTTTATACCTTCTTCTTTCATTTATTAGCTTAACAATTTCGTCTGTCATCCAAGGCTTTCTCGCATCTTTTTTTTGGGTTCCTATTACTTCCTCTGTCTGGCTCTTTAGAATTTTCTTAATATTGTCCCATTTAATTTCCTCAGAATGACAATTATCAATTAGTATGTTGTTAAATGCTTTCTTACATTTCTCTTTAAATTCTATTCTCTTCTCATCTTTCTTAAACACTTCTAAATTCCATTTTTTTGTAAATCCACCTTTCTTAATTTTTTTGTACTTTATATTTGTTTCCATAATAACTAGATTGTGATTGCTGTTAATATCAGCACCAGGATAAGTTTTGCATTATTTAATTTGATTTTTAAAACGTTGTTTAGTCATAATGTAATTGATTTGATATCTCGCTGTTACTCCCGGCCTCTTTCAGGTATATATTCTTATTTTATGGTGTTGGAAAAGTGTTTGCAATTGTCAATTTGTGTTGTGTACAGAACTGTTTTAGTCGTTCCCCTCTCTCATTTCTGGTTCCCAACCCATAACTACCCGTTATGTTACTTTCTTTCCCTTCGCCTACTGCTGCATTCCAGTCGCCTAGGATTATAACATTCTCTCCTGCTTTAGTCATCGCCATTATTTCATCTATTTTATCGCAAGTTTTTTCAACTTCTTCGTCATTATGTGATAATGTTGGCATGTATATTTGGATAATCGTTGTAATAGCAGGTTTAGTATTAATTTTAACCATGATGATCCTATCTGTAAATTGATAGTAGCTGATCACACTTTCCTCACACTGTTTATTCATGATGATGCCAACACCAGTATGTCCATTACTCGAGCCTGTATGAATGAATCTATACTCATCACTCCAAAAATCGCCGGGATCTGCCCATCTTACTTCACTTATCCCTATAATGTCAATATTTAATCTTCTCATTTCTAGTTTTAAATTTTCAAACTTTCCGCTTCTTCTCAAGGACCTGACATTCCATGTGCCTACTATTTTATAGTTTTGTTTTGCTTTACTCAAGGCGGTCTCCACCCGGACTTCCGAACGGGAGACTAGTTTACGTCCGAAATCTTTTACAATGAGTTCACAATCCATAACTGCAGATACTAGGGATAATAACGTGGTGGTTTCCCGTTTCCCTCCACCTCGCAGTTTTGTAACCATTTAGATGGCTGCCATCTTCGCTTACAAATGTTTGGTATGTAGCTGTACCGATCCCTTTGATCTCCACCTACATCCAATATTGGGGAAGCTGCTGCCCTTCCCCAGACCCTTTTGGTCGCCTCTTATGCCAAGCAGGGAATGCTCTGGGCCTATTCTATCCCGGGGCCCAGACCGGGCTTTTGGTAGATTAAGCAGTTTAAATATTATAGAACAATTAAAAATATGGTTTAGTATGGTAAACTATAATAAGTATAAATGCATAATACTTAAAATATATCTTTAAAATTAATAATTTCTATTAAATATGTAACAGTTCAAGTTTTTTTTAACGGTAAAATGGGTTCTACGGCGAAGCGGTAACGGCCATTTTGATGCGGGCTGCCCTAAACTGAATAAGAGTAGACCAGGGAAAATTTAATTTTCTCTTATATAAATGGAAAACAGTAGATGCACCACTCTGTGAATATAGGCTGGTTCAAATCGTAAAATACATTATTAGGGCACATTATGGTTCTACAAAGGTGATAGTGAGGCACAGTCGTGGTCACATAATAATTTATTATCTTCTAATGTTATCGTTCATCAGAAGTTATATATAATGGTTAAACAATTTTATCTTTTGTTTTATCAACATTTTAAGTTAAAATTTCGATGAAAATCGTAAAAATGACGGCATTCCAAAACATTTCTAACTAAAACTTTCTTAGAATCGTTTTTCATTATAATTTTTTCATCTTCATTATTTTATAGATAATTCGTTTAAAATAATATACATATACACAGATAAACTGATGATGAGAACGGTTAATGATAATCGATCAATTATCTGCAGCCAATATTCGATAATAGTAGTAATTACATATAGGTAACAAAATACAACCCTGAATGTTTTATGGTCGTGGTCATCGTCGGTCGTCGGTCGCCGTGAGTAATGACTGCAGTATATAACATTTAATGGACGAGAATTATCTACAATGACGATTGTGAAGCACAGTTGTAGCAACTGAATTATGGTAAATGTCATCCAAACAGTCAAATTATATACCAACCTACTTATATTTTTATACTTGAATTGTATAAATTTAATACTATTTAAAACTGGGAATCAATGATTTTTACCAACTATTATAGAAGAAGAATATAAAAAGAGTTATAATAATATTTGTACCTATATAATATATAATGACAGAATATTAGAGGCCTTGAATGTTGCTCGACAATAATTATTATGAAAAGTGCATTTTTGTTTAAAAATAGTTTTTAATTTGCCTAAATAATAAACAATATAAAAACATACTATTGTAATTTTAATACCTACTAATTCATACAAAGACATTAACAACTTAAAAAGTCAAGTTTACTTTTAGCCTTTAATTATTGATAATCTATATTAATTTTAGATTTTGAATGGAGTGAAGAAACTTATAGTTTTACAATGATATTTATTTTTTTTTCTCTGATGGAACTTTTCTACCAGGAATTTTGATTCGATTATCAAAACTAGCACTTTTACTGAAAGGAAATCGGACTGGGGTGGTACTTTAGAGAGCTTGTTTTTCGATCATTTCTCTGGAGTTTCCTCATCAAATGTGAAAAACTGAAATAACAGAGGAAAAAGATGTCCTAGGATAATGAAGATAAGTTCAGCCACTGTTATAGATAATTTAATGTTTACCTGTATGCAACGATAAACTATTGCTTACGAAAAAACGATTTTGAGTGGAGTTCAGTTGATAATGATGCTTTCTTGTCATTTAATAGTCAAATAATTAAATAGGCTTTATATCTTTATATATTACCTATAATAATATTTGTTTAATGTTAACCTACCGATTTTTCCAGTCTTCCTACGTTTTTCCCAGTTTTTCACATTTGCTGGAAAAACTCTTCAGAAAATGGAAAAATGACCTCTTTAAAGCACCTCTCCACACCGATTTATTTTCAAAAAATGTGTTAAACTTAAAAATCTGAGCAAGTCTTCTGGTAGAAAAGTTTTTCACAGATAAAAAATGAAAAAAAAAAAAATATCTTTGTAAAACTAAATGCTTCTCCATTCCACTTAGAATTTAAAACGGGACGGAAAAATGTAAAAAATGTAGGTATGAGCTAAAAATATTATTTGCTTCTTTTTTCCTGTGGACAACTTTTCCACCAGCAATTTTGCTCCAACTATTAATAGTAATTTTTCTAAAAGTAAATTTCACTGAGGAGATAATTCAGAGGGGTCGTTTCTCCGTTTTTTCCGGAGTTTTCTCAATAAATGTGAAAAACTGGGAAAACCGGGGAAATCGGTACAATAATAAACAATTATTATAAAAGATAATATATTATAAGGCCTGTTTGATTATTTTACCATAATGTGACACACATATATATATATATATATATATTATTGACAAAACATCACTATCAACTGAACTCCGTTTAGAATAGTTTTAATGTTGGCGATTGTTAATTGCTACTAACAGGTATACATTAAATTACCTATAATAGTGGCTGCACCCGTTCTAATTATCCTAGGATGTCTTTATTAACTTATAATAATGAATTAATGTTAATTTGATCATACGACGCGTGATGTTAGGTGAATTATTTAGAATACATTTTAATTTTTAAACGATATCAAATGTATATTTTATGTAAATACCACTGTTTAAATAATGAGATTTTGGTCTAATTTTTATTTTTGATGGGAAGAGTTGAAAATCTATGTAGCGATATCTATACGTGGAGTAACGTATATACAGTATCCAAGATGTGTTTTATCAGATTTCTTCTTCCTCGCCTTCACCCCAGCTATTTAGGATCGGCTACCTTCATCCAAAATTTTCGCTTGGCCCAATATCCCCCCACGCCTATTCTAGTTGTTTCACTCTGTTTGTTCATCCTTATTTTCAAAAAACTAACAATATGTATGTTTAATCGTTTTTAGTATAACAATAGTAATTTATTTTATTAAACAGTAATAATAATAGTAACTTAACTATAAATTAATTAATTAATCATGCCAATAGATTAATTTAATTTGTAACTTAATTTAATATAAATTAATAAAATAATACATTTTTCACTTGTTGACTAGTTAGGTAACTAATATTTTTTTTCAATTAACTTAACATTATTATTACAATGTTGTTTATTTATTTATGAACTCTTCCGGTTTATATATTTCATAACACTTAAATATCTAAAATGAATAAATCTTAACGATAATAAAATTGATAGGATGATAATATTGTTAGCTCGTAAGTATATAGAATATTTGATAAATTATGAGGAATATAATATAAAAATGAAAAATAAGGGCGTAAAATAATAGAAATTAAGATAAAATGTTTTATGTCAACTGGTTTCATTAAACAAAATCGATTGTTATTAGATACTTTATATTAAACACAAACAATAGAAAGTAGAAATATATTGTATAAAATGTAAAAAACAAAAGAAAAAAAAACATTCCAAATATATTTCCCGTAGAAAACGTTTGCCCCATATAAATCTTTTAATATTAATATTTTTTTTTTTTTTTGGGGTCTTTTTTTTTAGTTTAGTTTTAACATTTGTTTTTAACACCAACAACCGCGAAGCGAATAATAATACGACAAAAGAAGAATTAAAGCCCGAAGCTTTGTGAAAATAATTTGTACGTGTAAAGTATATTATAATATACTTAAAATACTTTAAGTTTAAGTTTATAATTAAGTTTCTTACTTTATAATATAAGTTTCATTGTCGTTATTGCGCAGCAATTGCTAAAAAATTACTAATATACAAAAAAGTAAAATTGAATATTATCACAGTGTTATTATTTTTTTTTTCTTAAAATTTTTGATATACAGCGATATGATAATATTTTTACCGCAGGTATGAGTATATAGAATAATATTTTTATATCAATGACAAAAATCACGAAAAATCGAATCCCCTATAAATTAAAAAATATGTATAGTATACCTTAGTTTCCAATAGGTACCCCAAGATATTTTTAGGGAGATTTTCTGTATCCAAATAAACAGACAATAAATCTAGTGGATATCCAGTAGAGTAAAATTAGTTTTATTTCATTTTCGGACGGATCTTAACATCAATATTATTGTATGGCAAGATGAATATCGTTTCACCTAGTATTTTTCGATCGGGGTTGTATGGAATAACTGGTACATGTATTTATTGAAATTGCAGATAAATATAGCGTCTGGTATATTCGCGACTACCTATATAATTATACTTATGAATAACTACTCACTATTGAGTTGACTGAATATTATTATTATTCGGCTTTAATTCGGCATGGCGAGTTTATTGTCCCAGCGATGAACTTGTATAATATTATTTTATAGGTCACATTACGTTCGCTTATTCGTTTGGATCAATTATTATTCCGCCCCGCGTGGATTTTAACGATTGTTTCGTGTATCGTCTGAAGAAATGCAATCATTAATTTTTGTCGATTCTTTATTAATATTTGGTAGTTAATGATACCTTGATAACCTATTACAATGACCGAATTAGCGGAAATTATTATTCTGAAAATAAACGTCTCAACGGTAATTTCGAAAAAAAATTAATTATTTATTTATCTATTTGTTTACAAACAAATTAAAAATATCTCCATTTGCATTTATCGTATACAATTATTAGATACTGAAGGTTTTAATGCGAAATAATATTTGATCAATATTCGAGGACGAATATATTTATATATTCGGGTGGTCCTTATTTTTGAAAATTATTATTTTTGATGACATACCCCTCCTATTTTGTTCCTGACTATTTAAAAGCAAACTGTGTGAAATTTAGTCATGATAATTCACCCGTGCCCCAAGAGGGTTGAAAATGAGGAAATAGGGTAGTTTTTTAGTTTTTCGCAAAAAGTTCAATAACTATATCACCGACCATAAAAATAAATATTCTTAGACTTTTTGGTAGCT